ATTTTAAGCTATGGACAGGACATGCATCATTGCTTTTTACTGTGAATCTTATTTTTAATACCACTTCATGTATTCAATACCTGATTAAAATCTTCCGTACGTTATACCGTTGTATAGTACTGACGTCACATACATTAGTATTAGCCAAAAGTTCGGCATTAAAATTTTTTACTGTTGTTATTAATAAAATAAATTGCGTCCCATATAGGCATGCAATATAACTTTCCTTTCATGCATACTTGGGTCCAAGGTCAGAGAAGTATAAATCAATGAGTTTATTCATTGGAAAAGGAGGAAGAATTCATGTATCGTTTTCTTCTAACGATATACGCCAGAACCGATTGAAATCTAAGGTCGTATAGATACACAAATAGTTAATCTTTCCGTTAATATTCAGTAAATGTCAATGGTTGGCTTATCATGGCACAGGAAATCGGACATAGATAACACTATACAACAGTAGACCAGCGTGCACATATACGAGATCTATAATGTTATATACAAACACACACACCCTTGGCTCACATATGTATGAATGTTATATCGATTTCGTCAGATAAAGATAACTTGTAGATATAAGCTACCGCTATAAAAATGTGCAGTGTGAGCTGCCATTATAGAAATTCTCTTCATGCATGCATGTGTTCTGTGTGATCATCCTCACTGGCGCGTGGTGGATAAGTCGTATTGCGTATTACAGGTTCCACTTAATCTCTAGAATATTGTTTATGTATGTACATATATGTGTTTATGTTTTCTTGCGCCAAAACAATTCTTTCACAGTTATTTTAAACTTGGCATAAACATATTCGTAAATGTAGTTGGGTTCAATATAGGTTGTGTATATGGCGCGCTACGAGGATCACGCGTTGTTTTCATAATTTGTTTTCATAATTCCCGTATTGCCTTAGGCTTAGAGGTATTGGCGTTCCTTTCCACATTTGGCGTTTGTTATAGCTTTTGTGAGATTCGTTTCTGCTAACTGCATTTTCTACCTTTATTCATGGTCATCTTTCTTCAGTTGGAGTTTTCCCATATTTTTAGATTACATATAGTTTTAGGATATAAACTTCATGCATGACCTGTATTTATAATAATTTGTTAGTACTCAACTAGTCTATACCTAATTATACAATTCTAAGATGTTCCAAAATTCTGGCTAAAAAATAAGCTCTTCAGTGCATAAAAAGCTTCTTTTGTTAGAATTATCTTATTCGAAATTAAGTTTTCTTCAGCTGTTTAGGCAATCTCTGAATAACACGCTTTTTGCATCATGTGGTCATGTTTCTTCACGTGTGCATGTACATGCATGCCATATACAAATCCAGATTATCAGTATTGGGATTTTCAATCAGGCTTTGTGGCGCGGTTGATGGGAGTAAATCAGAATACTGAGACATTTGTTTTGACTTCGAATTGTTTTCACACAGTTAATTCTTAATGCATTGGCCTGCAACATCTTTTAATACTAATTATTGCCATAATTTAAATTTTCACCTTTGATGTGTTAAAATGCATGTGAGAAAACCTATAAAGGCTCGCTTGAAATTTTTCAGCGATTTCTAGAGCGATTTTCTTTATCTGATGGAGGCGATCGAGCGCATGAGTGATGAATGTTCTGAGTTTATGCATCCACGTCTGAACATTCATACATATTCCATTCATTCACTGCTGCGGAAGAAGAAATAGCACCTAATCGCAGCGAAAATTGGAAGTGTATATAAACGGGCCTTAAAGGATTATGTCCTAATTCACTGCATGCTATACATGTTCCTTTGAGCAAAGACGATTATATAGATAGTTGATTATCATTACTGTTTATACTACTGCTGTGACAATGTGTTTTTTCTCAAAACGTTGTGGGTTTTAGTTGTTACATTTGGGCAGTGTATAGCACTGTGTGGGCCATTTCAAGCCAATGTATGTGCAGAGTGTTGCGGTGTATAATGGCAATGAGAGATAAAGAACGCCAATAATGATATCTTTTGAGCTATTTTACATGACATCAAATATATTGTCACTGCAGATAATTTGACGATGAAAAATGGTCCTAAAGTGCATGCCATCAATGCGATTGAATCGTTGATATTGCCTCTAGCGGCTAAAAATGTCTCAATTAACGTTTTTATTTATTCATGCACATTGACTGCATGTTACTGCATGCAAGACACGCGTGCAGTTGTAACTTTGCGTGATTTCTAGCTTGGTTGATGATACACCCAGGCTTTTTCGTAATTAAAATCTTACCAAATTTCACGCATAGTCAAAGACTCTTATCGATCTTTTTTTCTTGATAATTATTAAATGGGATGGCTATATTGTTGGAGATAGTCATAATGATTTAACGTGAAAGATAGCGTCTTCATGCACGTCCCTTTGAAATGTGTTAAATCTAACTTTCCATTTCTGGATGTATTTTATGAGCATGCACCTGATGTTAATTTACTTGTTACAACAGTCTGTGTAAATCATGTAGCTATGCATGCAGTAATGACATTCACAAGATTATTGTTCTTTAATCACGCTGTCTCTCTTTTGGTTTTTGCCTCTAATGTAAAATGTGTAATTAAATTGAAATTTTAATATGGATTTATTTTTACACAAAAGAACGAGTTTATTACTGCGCTTTATGTACGCACCGAGGTGTCTGTACTGCAGCCAAGGCGAAATGATCTTTTCATTGCTTTGATTAGAGGAAAGAATAGATTTTGTACGTGCATAAAATATAAACTTTTATTTTAATACATAATAATTATTGTACAGTGTGTCACGCGAGTTCCTTCTTATTATTTTGCTGCATAACTGTGTAGAATACTCAAATATCACTGGGAAAATAAGTGAAATCCATACTACGAAATTTGCAATTGCACCACTAAATACATAGTATATCCATACTATTCCCATACTATATCCTGCATAGTATGGAAATAATTGTACAATTATTATGGATAACCAAAATCCATTCTATTTCCCATAAAGGTCCATACAATTTCCATTCTATGACCTTCTATGGATTTTCAAAATTTTTTCCAGTGTATATGACTAAGTTGCAGTCAAGCAGAGAAAATTTGAATAAGTTTATTTATAATTTTTAATTTTTTATTGGGCTTTCATTGTACAATCATTCAAACAAAGTTCATGTATACAATGCCAATGGGGCAAGTTTACAATAGGCATACGCCCAGCGAGGTAAACAGCATCTCCTGAAATAGAAAGGGGGAAGTCTAGTACCGTGATAGTTATGGAGGAAGTTTAAAGTGCAATACCATCCTGAAAATGTTCAAAATGGCTGACGTTCAGGAGGGTGAATGCCTCTTATATAACCGCACTGGCTAGGAACATAGCGACAGCATTTTGATCACGAATCATTGCGAATCATGGTGTGGCCGTTGGTTACGCTTTTTTTTTGGCTGAGTCGACCGTCTGTTTGTCTCTATTCTTTGATGCAGCGTTGACAAAAGCGCGGGGAAGCCAGACTTTGAATGGTCGAGCTTTTGAAACAAATAGATTTCCAAGTTGAAGTAATTTCGTGCGCGCATGCAGTCACAGCACAAAGCAGTATTGTAATGGTTATACAAAGCAGATTTGAGTACACAAGATGCATCCTTCCAGAGTTTCACAGTTCCAACGATATAATAATAATAACTTTATTTATAACAGACGGCCTACATCACTATTTTAGCGAAGTATCGCTTTGTAAAAAACACGACATTTGCTATTACCAGTGGTCATTTAATAATGGATGAGACCAAAAGTTGTTATCGTGGTTCTCGAATAAATTAGCCTTTCTCACGGCCGACTTTCCCGCCATTTTTGTCGCATTGCCTCTCCCACGTTTGAGAGTCTCCACACCACGAAATACAACCTTTTTGTATTGTAGTTGTTTGTATAATGGTAAATTTACAGTTACAACTTTTAAAAGTCGCTTTTCACTTTGTTTGAATTGTCTAGAATCTTTCACGAGGGCAGACAGTACCCCAAAACTGGCGGATTTTGGCCTTCGTGAGAAAGGCTAATTGAAACACCTAAATTAACATTTTATATACATTTTTATATCCGACACTTATTGCATGCAACTATAGTCGGGGCACTGAAAATAGACCACGCCCTGAGCTCAAAATTACACGCATACTTGGATATATTTGTTTTTTACGATATTAATATTTGGAAATAAAAAGTTGGTAACACTGGGAAAAAAATGTGAAATCCATACTTTGAAATTTACAATTGAACTACTAAATCCATAGTATGTCTATACTATTTCGATACAATATCCATAGTGTGGAAATATTATGGATAATCAAAATCCATGCTATTTCCAATAAAGATCTGTACAATTTCCATTCTATGGCCTTGTATGGGTTTTCAAAATCTTTTCCAGTGTAAGAAAGTGAAAATGTCTACGCATAAGCTGCAAAGTGTAATTCACGACAAAATAAGTTTCGTCATTCAGACACGAGACTTCATGTCATTTTATTTGTCACTAACGAAGTAAAGGTGGTCTATATGTTTAATGGACTTTCGTTCACTTCTATAAAACTCGCATTTAATGCATGATGGTTTATACAGGTAATCTCAACATTTCCTGTTGTGATGACGCGATCATTGCGATGAAGAAGACATAACAAGAACAGTTGAACTATAGAAGATTTGGGAATCCCGTAATTGGAATTTCACTCAGTGGGAGTTCCCTGCCCTTTGTGGCGAATTTTGTAAATAAAATAATAAAAATAAAATACAAATAGATAGCACTTAGGCCTTATATACTACTAACTACACTTCATTACAGATTGTTTTGGTAATTTTACCATCTTCATTTTTCCTGCCTCATCATTCATGATTGTTTTGGTAATTTTACCATCTTCATTTTTCCTGCCTCATCATTCATGATGCGGCCTACCATTTGAGACTCACACATGCAGGTGGACATGTGTCAGTGTTGTATATGACGTTAGTCGTGACGAACAATAGCATATTCTAGATACGAGTATATGTTTACTCTGAAGATACGTTTGACAGTACTTCGCACAGCTTTTGTTCCTCATGTTTTTCATTTTTGGAGTTTTATCTACACCATGCACAAGGTTATGGTCTAAAATTATCATCCGCGAACTCCCATGTAGCATTTTGTACTCATTTGTGTTTAATTATAACCAAACCTGTGAGCGCCATCGATACGTAAAACGTTATTCATTTTTAATATCTTTGAGTGCATTCCGCTCAAGACTGCACCAGAACACGCGATATCCAATGTCAATCAAATTTATTTCTATTTTTTTATGTGCATATTTATAATATATTTATATGTTCCATCTTACCAACAAAGATATTTATAATACATCTGTATAGTTCTATTCTCTATACATAAAGATTAAATACATCGTCATCATATTGTCTCATAAATTTTCTACATCCTTTATGCATGAACGTTCGGAATTTTGCACAATGCACTTTTTGCGCGCGAGCTGTTCACTTATTTTATTTTGTGTCTTTGTCAGCAATAATAACTGGACACCAGTCACTATTCCACTTTAGCGTTCTAAGAGCAAGAGCTCTCCAAATCTCCCTCACTTTCATATTGTCTGTTGCTTTAAGATCACTCTATCTCTCCGCTATAATTATCTTTCATCATGCTTGGTTTTCATGTGTGTTTTCCTGAGATCAATTCCTCCCAACAGAAGCATTTTGGAAATGAATTTAGTTCTTGCCATTCACTTGCGTCATTTTACGACCTCGTTGAAAGAATCGTGCTCATATTTGTGTTGACTATAGTATAAAATGTTATAATTTGTTTTTCTACGCCCAGAGAAGCCTATTATTTAATTTATATAATTTGATATAATGTAGATTGTAGTTTACCAGCAAGAGTAATTCAATTTCCAAAAAGTTCAAATTGGGATGGAGCACGGTCTAAACGGGCTAGATTTTCACTGAGTGAAGAACATGGCACCATCCAAGTTAAGATTACAACAGGCTTTTTTCTATTTTCAATAAATATCATAGGATTGAACGAAAACGTTGGATTGTGCCATTTTCCTATTCAGTGTAATCCCAGCTTGAAAGTATTGCTTATTTCAGCATTGCCTTCAGCTTTGATACATGACCATCGAGGAATGATTCGGCTTTCCAACTTTGTGTTGGATAGTCCTCTGTTTATAGGCAAACTTGGTTTACCTGTCTATCACTATATCAGTCTTTCTCGAGAGCAATGGAGGTTTTAAACCATGCCGCTTAAAGATGAATGTTGAGGTACGATGGGCGCAAAGAGACCTGGATGTAAGGGATGAAGAGGTTTCATTGAAGGATGGATCATTTGACTGCTTATTACAGAAGATCCAGGGAAGGAAAACATGGACTCCTGACTGGTTATGTAGTGATTTGAACTCATGCTTCCTTCCAGTTTGCCATCTTCTTGTTTTATATCGCCATGTTTCTTGCTCTTTTTCGTTTTTGACGAGACTTTCCGATTTCTTGTTTGTATTCCGTCTTTCTTCATCGATAATGGTCTGTTCACCTGCGAACAGAATGTGCGCCAGTTAGCTAGGTATATATGATTATTTCGTAATCTGAATTTCATAAATATGCACAAATCGCCGTGCATATTGCTAATAAAACATAATCACACTTCATTCGAGAAAAGCATTATCTCATACGAAACTAACCTATTTTGCATTTGCGAAAGGATTTCAGCTAGAAAATTGTTTCGTGTACGCTAAACGGTTGGGGGAATATATTGGGCAGTACATAATTAAGGCGAAAAATCTTTGCGCTTTGTAAGGACAAGCATGCATATTAAACCTTATAAAAATCATGCTGTGTGTATATATGCTGAAATTTCCTCATGTATTCTTTGGATTTTTTTCAAGCAGTGCGAACCCAAACATAATTTGCATAATTTTTTTCTGAAAATAAACTGCATAATGTGTGACATATGACATATGTATTTATCTTTCACAAGAACCACGTATTCCACAATAATTTTGGGTTTACTTTATACACAGAGCTTGGAAAAATCACGTATATCATTTAATGTATCTTCTTTGGCCCGGCATTGCTCAGAAAAACATCGCAGTTAGATTTGACAGTATCGCTTATATACTCGTAATAAAATTACTTAGCCAAGAAATAATAGTTTTTGGATAAGATTTATCAGGCGAGATTATACTTTATAGAGAAAGTAGTAGCCGCGTTTATAGTTAGTGGACAACTACAGCAAATAAGCTGGTATAGCATTGTAGCCTTTATTTATTCGTTGAATTAGACAGTGCTGATTTAATGTCAAGCACATACATGATGCACAACAACACGTGTATACTTAGTCTAGTATATATTTGAATAAGAAAGGAAGGTTTTATATGTCTGTTGAGGTGTATGAATATGAACTGTCTGTTCATGCTTGTTCCATTGTGTGATAAATTATTTTCATTTGCTATATGGAACACTATATATATATATATATATATATGTGTATTGGAACTGTTAGATGATTTAATTTGTACATCATTCATGAACGTTCAAAAATCTGTTGAATGCATGTAATTCAATTGATATTGCCCATGATTTCCATCATATTTCGGGCGTTTCAACTCTTGTCTTCGCAATTCTGAGCTGCTTTAGAGGTGAATATATATTCCACAATACTTCTCGATAAGAAAGAGATTTGCTGGCCTCAATTTTTGTGGTTTGTTCCATTAAATGAAGTACATACAATCGAAACATGCATTAAGATAGTGATTTATCTCTGAACTTACTTCAAATCTGACTAGCTCTTTGTCTTAGGATTTGTGTACCGAAAGAGCTGGACTAAAGACTTTTCCATTTATAGACTTTCAATAGCACTATAATCCGATTCTTTGTGCACGGATTATACAACAATGTACGTGTTTAAAAAGTAAAAATAAAAGTACATTTTCCTTTCAGCATAGAGTGAGAACTGCAACTTTTTTATTTTGTTCACCTACAAATTTCGAATTTTTTATAGTGTTCTGTAATTGTTAAATGTAGCATTTATGTCTCAATTGAGATCAAAACAAGTTGGAAATTCAATAGACGCTAATCTTACAGTCGGTTGAATTGCAAATTACAGGGTAGGAAGAAAAAATATCCGTTTTTATAAGTGGCCATTTCTATAATTTTGAATAGTGTCTGGCCACTTTGCGCTTCGGTTCACACTTTGCCGTACAAAAAAAGGCCTAAAGGCAGTGGAATATTGCAATTTCCTTATTGTCTATTTGATTTCGATGGATAAATGAAAGACGACATTCGCCTGCTCTACTCTCTAGCTCTATACTCTAAAAGAAAACACTGACTGCGCTGAAAAACATCCCTTCAATTTCAAAAAGGAATTTAAAATATTATAGTTCATGAATTTAATTGTTCCTGGTATCTGATTATCTTCGGAATCAATTTTATATCAATATTGTCTGGGCTATGTGATTTCTTGTCTGTTTACATGCTAAACCAAGAATATGTATCATGTTAATATTTTTGAAGTATAGCATGAGAAAGTAAAAAATCTGTGACCAATGCAGTGCATAAGAAATACGAGGAGCCGTTTAGTCTGACCCCATACAGTTTCTTTAGTTTAATGTCTCGTTCGTTAGAATAGAGCTGTTTTATTTACGTCGTAACAACAACAGTATGTCATTAAACGAAAATTGCTGCCCTACTGAGATTAATTGCTAGTCTTTTGTATTTCGCCTCGAGTTATACTCTCTTAAAGTGATCATGGCAGATGGCGTGTGATCTTTGATGGACTTAAACATTTCACAAAGCTATGATGTTGCTCGTTTAGTGCACACATTCATCCTAAACCACATTTATTATGTCTTTACACTCAAGACTCTTTGTTCGAACAATGCATGCAGCTTATGAAAAGATCATTTCGCTGCCATTTGCGTATTCATCTATATGCTGTGCATTTATTAAACACGCCTTCTTTGTTCACGAGATTTTCTATCAATGATATTTTTAAATCACGCGTTCGCAAAACTATACGCGCCGTTCTGTAGTACATTCGAAACTTACCGCGTGTAGCTTCCAGTATAATCCACATGCATTGCACACAGGTTCGCCGTTTGCGTTTCTTCTCCATAATGTTGTCTGCGTGGTGCCGCAATTTGCACAACTCGTTCCTGCCCGGCGTGCAGCCGACTGGCAAAGAAAAAAAAAGGAAACAGCCATTAGCGACAAAGAAGTTTTATAACTACCTCGCTCATACCCAACAAGCACAAAACATGTTTGTCAGTAAACAGGCGAATCAACGCCGATGACACAGTAAATATTCAAATTAAAAAATGCCTGTCTTTACCCTGAGAGCAGAACCTGATTTCTCTGCTCTCAGGGTATGTCTTAGAAAATGTAAAACCATGACAATTATTATATGCAAGTGAAACAAGTGAGAACGTTTTGGACATTTTAACGAAAGCAATATTTCAAAAGACGTTCAACGAGAAAAGCTTCAAAAATTAGAAAAATATATTCAAGCACAAACATACGCCCAAATAACGTGAACAGACTTAAATAAGAACATAATTGTAAAATTAATTAAAAGTATTTTTGAATCAAGAACAAAATATCGGCAATAGAATTCATATTATGAACTATAGTATAAACTATAAAAACATCTATGCTTAGAACTCTACACAGACACAGTTATTTTCTGAAATAATAAGTGGAACAGAACTTATTATTAAGAGTAATGGTTACAAATGAAAATTTTATTCGAAATACATTAGAAGCGTTTTTGAGAACAATATGACGGGAAAAGACATTCTAAAATAAATTAGAACGGTTAAGAAAAAGTTTGGAACAATTCTCAACTGGCTTTTTTATGCCTCGTTAACACAATGAAAATTATAAACCTGTAGATTGTGCTGATACGTGATGCAAACATAAAAAAACGAAAAAGGCTTGATAAAATGAAAGGACTTGATAAAAAGATTCGAATCGGATGGTGGCAAATTAAGATAGAAAGTTGAGATGAGGATAGTGCATGGTTGATAATTTTGTTTGAAAATAATTTCAACCCCTTGTCTTTGCGCAGCTAGATAAAGAATGGAAGAACTGTACTGATGTAAGAAGTACATGAGTACATTATTAATATACTTACTAGTCGTCTTTTAGGTTTAATAAGCGGTCTGTTTGAGCCGTTCATTTTGTGATATAAGCCACAAGCATTGCATAGATAATGGCCACTTCCATCTCGACGCCACAACGGAGTAGAGGTCGCTCCACAGTTGATGCACTCTCGGCCTTCCACTGAAACACAAAACGTAGAATTGCAACTAAAACTAAAGAGCGCCTTGTATTTTGCCGAGTAATGTTTACAGAACAAATTCTTAAATTGATATTTTATGCACATATCAATGTGTCTTTTAGATTTTATAAATGCGTATAGTAGCAAAATCGAGGAAGCGTGAAAAATTCTGTTTAGTATCCTTTGTGTTCTTGGGGCGCGAAATGAGCAAATATTTACTTTCTATGCCCGTTATTATATTTAGACATATTGGGACAAACAAATGCAAGCTACATGTGGCTTGAAATCCAATTTCCGCGCGTTTGTGTGACCACGACACAAGGGCCTTTAGGTGACATCCTCATTCACTAATTCAAAACCCATAGCCGTTCCTACAAATTAGTCTTTGCAATACAAACAAACGGCAAACTAACAAGACAGTTTGCGTGATAATGCTACGTGAATGCGTGTGAATTCACAAATGGTGACACATAATTACCAAAAATAACAATTTGTACAATACGGAGCGTTGAGGTGTTGGAACTCAGTGTTCGTCAGATTAATTAAGTATAGAAAAATATCCGGCATTTCGTAACTAAACTACTTGTTTAGAGTGTTTATATTAAAGTTGCGAACTTTTTGCCTGCCGGTGGTATCGCGCGTAAAGTATAGTGTATTTAGGTATGGAATATATTGCGTGAATTACCTTGTGGTGTGTACGAAGAGTCTGGACGTGATCCTGAGAATTGCATGCCAGCTTTTATTAAGGATTTCTCGTCAGCATAGCCGTAAGGATCGAGGATAGATTTGACAGAACTGCCGTCTTGCATTAAATCTTTCGGTGGTGTTGGTGGGAATGCGAATATAGGATGTCCTAATGACGAACTGCCTTGACTAACTTGTGCAGGCGAGGAAACCGAGACAGAACCGCGATGTGTTTGTGGGAATGGCGGACACCAAACAGACGGCGGTGTTGCTACAGAACAACCGTAGTTCGATGCAGATTTACTCTCAATCCATTGTATAGGAGTGTGAAAATGATGTGGCCGACATACTTGGGTTGAAGGGACACGGGCAGTCGGTAGGAATACCCTACTACAACTACCAGGCTGGGTTGGAACTTGTGATTGTGGATCAGGGAAAGCTGTTGGACCATGGGCAGTCATTTGACACATTGTCGGCCGGTAAGGATGCGCTCTAGCGCCTGGAGGATATGGCCATGAGTTAGTTGCATTGCCTGAGCTATCTAAGTGATGAAAAAACACATCGACCTCATCCGGTGGAAGCAGTTGAGAGGGTTCGATCAGATTTAAGTTAGACGACGGAGTCGGAACTATACTTGGGTAATTTCCAGGCAGCGTCTGTTGCATTCTGTAATGACTATTACTGCTTTGAGTGTCACTTGATGTCGTTCTTGCTTCGCTTGTGCTTGCCATGAACTAGAATAGAAATCTGTATGACAGCAGCCTTTATATAGAACTGTGAAGTGTACCACCCTGAGAAGCACCTCGAGACTACCCGTTGCCTGTTGATTGTGACCTGAAAATAGAACAGAGAAAAACCGTTCCACTCAGTTGTGTTTGAATAATTGTGGTGAATAACAATAGCCTTGTATAGTGTCTCCTCACGCACTATACTTTATAGTGTGTGTGTGGGGTAATACTCCAAGAAGAAGCGGAAATACGCCTGTTAGCCATGCACTCGTTGAAATTAAACTAACAAAGCTAATAGCTAAGGCTTATCGGCGTGCTTCTAATCTCCTTGTATAATCATTACCATTTCACACATTCACACGTTGTTATATCTGCTGCGTTCTACCCTGGCGCAGAAATTTTCATAACGATCTAACCTATACAAGCGATAACGTCGAACAATATTTGTGGTCGAAATGCGACAATCAAACTAAGCGATACAGTGAGACAATTTATCTTTTTTCTAGTTAAATGCTAAGAAAAATATTTAAAAATAAATAAAACGAACCACAACGTTTGCTAGGCCAAGAACGAGATGCGATATAGTCAAGTGGCTTCGTTAGTATAGAGAGAAGCGTTTGGTAGGACAGCAGCGCAACTCTTCTGTAGAACCTCTCAACGTGATGTCTTGTCAGTGACTGAACTTACAAAACTTGTCAAGAAAAAATGAACGCTGCGCGAGTTTTTTGGGCGCCATAAAGCCGGGCCTCGGCCGTCACGCCGTCTGCCGAGCCAATCAAATTGCGGCTTCCTTTGTCGATTTGACGTTTACGGAATGCACTTCACTCGTTCTGACAGCTTATTGGATACCCTGGCCAAACAAATAAACAATTCATTTACGAAATATCTGTCAGTCAGATTTCTAGCGTAATGCGTTTGCATTCAAGAGGACACGAATGTGTATAATTTGCGTTACAACCTAGTTTATAACAAAAGATCGCAACTTGGGTCGCACAACCCCTCTTATATAATATCTTAACAAAAACCTCATCGAAGATTAACTTAACATAAACTCATGATTCTGGTGTACAATTTAAACCTATGATCACGGTCCAGCCATCTGATGTTGATGAGCCAATGTTTGCATTTCTTATCGGACTTTTGCAAGCACTAATGAAAATATAATATTTGCAAAAACATAGTTATATACAGCTCCCATATTTCTTATGGCTCTGAAATTGTAAATTAATAGCGTGACGATTATTGCTTAGGAAAATGTTTTGCGTGCGAAACGTGAGTGAAAAACAACAAATTACGCTTATGCAATTAGGCGCTGTGTGTAGAATATGGCTTTCTAGGCAATCCACGAGTATATCAATATACAAACAGTGTTCATGAGTGCGATTCTCTAAGACTCTTGAGCGCACGGGTATTGTATTTTTAGTTTTAAGTTTCATAGTGAAACAAGTGTTGTGTTGAAAACGGGAAAACATTTCGTGATTGGCTCTCGTTGTTTTAGTCATATGGCGTGAAAACAGGACCAGGTGGACGCACTATTGCCCGAAAACTGTGTGGGCTATGTAATTCCTTTCGGGGAGAGATAAGACTCGAACTTGTCTTGGAGATCTTATCCGCCTATCTTTTCGTGGCGTTATCTTAAAAACAACGAGACTTGTCGTTCAAGAGAATGAGCTATCCATCCTGTTATAATATACATACCGGCAACAAAAAGCCTATTCCCTGCCTTTTATACATTTTCCCCTTTTTGTAAAAACGCGCCAGACGACAAAACCTCTGCGCAAATAAATCGCGTGCGTAATTATGTTTTTTAGAATCGAAGTACACCAAATGTATAGAAAAGTGAAGTGTGTATATAGGTAGTGTTAGACAAAGCATTATCGAGTGATCAGATAAACATGCAAAAATATATTGGATGCGTCCACTTTCACGAAATGCAATTAATGGTGATCCATAAAAGCTTGAAAAGACACTTTCTCCTAGTGTTTTAGCTTTTTATCTGTCGCAGTTCGCACGCGATATCTTTTGGTGGATAACTTTTACATCTGCGGTTGCGAAAATTGTTTTAAACTTATCTGTAGCGGTGTAGGAGTCTTAAACAATGCGCGCCCGCCTTTACGACAACTCACTAAGATTAATCAGGTACTATATGTTACTTTTTGAATATGTGAATGCGCGCAAACTCAAACATATATATTTTGCACACAAACGGCGCTAGGCGAATATATCATCTCAACTATTTGAAAATATATAGTATTTTATTTGACCAGGATCTGTATGCGCGTCTAAATTTTGAGCTAAATATTTATCCAACACTTCTCAGTTCAAATCTTTTCCGATTTTAAACAAATACATCAACGCGAGCCACAAACAGACTCACTATCTTTTACTTTGTAAACACATCTCTGCGTATGAATCATTAATATATCGGCTCGTTAGTTTTTCTTTTTGAAAATACCAATATGTGGACCTGTAAAATACTTTGAAAGATACGTAATCTTTGCTGGGCTGTGCGTTTATAGATTAGAAGTAGATTGAAAAGTGCACCTGTTATCCCATTGTCTTGCCCTTCAATCGAAATGAAATAATAGAGAAAGCTCGTAAAATTTATGAACTAAAATCTTCCTATTTGTTTCACTTGTTTTGTCCAAACTACGCCCACAATATTTGTCTGCAAATTCGCAGTTCAGAAACTTGGAATTTCGATATACTATGAGGTTGTTGTGGTTTTTGCAATATCGCTAAACAGATTGCCGCGGTTCACTTTCGTAATTTTTCTTCGAGATGAAGAAGAGATCGTGCAAGCTTTTATAAGGTCTTAATTTCGATTGCTCATAAATCTATAAAGCAGATAAACTCCTAATTCTGATATAGATTGCAATGCAACTCTGCCCCAAAATATACATCGTATCTTTTCAAGCGGACTGCGGGTAGAGATAAAATGTAAACAGAAGTGTGTGCATGTCAGTTTATCATCCGTCGTAAGCTTTGATAAATTGCACTATGTTGAATAGAACTTAAATTAGTTTGGGCAGCCCCCTTTCCTACATAATCGATAAATGGATGCGGTGCGCGCGTGGATGAAGTTCGAAAAGAGAGGAACATCCTTGGCTAGGACTTCGTTTTCATGTTGTGCTCAACGGTTAGATTTACAATCAACGTATAAACTCAAGTCAGTAACTTTGTATACTACTTTATCTTGGCAGACATTAAATTACTTTATCCTATAATATCATTCATATAGATACTATATCTGCATGGGAAGATCTTATTATTCGCGTTCTTGTTTAAATATGCGGTATATGGAAAAGTCATTAATGGCATGTTATATATCAAATAGGTATAACTATATACTCTTTCATGAAGTTTTACCTCATTTTTATAGAGTCATATTGTTTTGGGTATATATGTGTACAATAAAACTTTGTACAAGATTTTATATTTAAAACTCCTGTTTACTAATTTTGCCTAAAACTAAAGGTGGTCAGTAATTTTAATATTTTAAAGTTGCTGTTAGCGAAGATAAACAACATTTCTTTGTATAATGTAGCTACTAAGAGGCCTTGTAGCAAAATTTTCGCGCTTTTATAGGAAAGCAATTAGTTGCATGATTGCTGGTTCAGTTTTGGGGAGCGGAAAAACAGATTCGATGTCTTTAATTATATTAATATATTGCAAACATGGGAGTATGTGAACTATATTAACTTTATTAATCCAATATTAGATCGAACATTATGGAGCATAAGTGCGTTTAACAGTATATATAGAAATACATGCACACTGTATTTGGTGTGGTCTTATACTATATTTCCGTACACGTCAAGTGTACTTTATGTAATTCATTTGTCGACACGCTTGCCGCGCTCTTCAATATGGCAGCAATATGGTTTCTGGAGATTGTCAAGAATGTACCATATAGCGCCAGTTATCCTGCGTCAGCCATATGGAAGACAAACTATTCATATATGTGCCTTTAATTGAAATAATTCCTCGTGAACGATTGCTCAAAATGCGTCCTTATGGCTAGTTAGAACGGAAGACATTAGCTTCTAGTTTTCAAATGTTAGTTATCCTTGCCGTTTAGAGCAAAACAAAAGATCATTCATCAATAAAAGAAAGAAAACAGGAAGACGTGTTTTATAGTAAGAAAACAGAATATTTGAGGTGGCGTGTGTCGACGTGAATACTTCCTGACCAACTTAATTTGTGTGTTTTCGTCCAGACATTTTTCAAACTGTGGGTAATCGGGCCAAATGCAAATGTAGAAGACGAGGAAATCACTTTAATTGGAATAGTTTCCTTAAGGCTACGAGTTGGAATCGAACAATAGTTATTAAGTAATGTAATAAACATTTATTCTCCATTTATTTACTTTGTTTTTGACTAGAACAACATAAAGTCATTTATTTAATTTTATTAAGCTCTCCTGGTGCGAATAGTTAGTCTTTTTGTTCGCTCATTTCCAGCAGGCATTAACGTTTTCTCGTTATTTGCCGCATCACGTATACGATTTACTTGCTTAAATCTCCCATCTGGCCTGCAGCCGTTTCAAATTTTCTGGAGTTTTTTAGCTTCTCTATATATGGGATATATTTTGCCATCTGAGCAAACGGTTGTTGTTATCAGGCGCTTTTAGTGAGATTACCTGACAGCGCTAAGTATTTGCATTTTGCAGTTGAATTCGTTTTAGATTGGATAGATAGCTCCCGCGCAACCTTAGATGGCTTTTTTATCTTTTGGAAACGATAAAGACACAAAATGATGTGTTTTGTGGCTGTTCGTTGTTAAACACATTTGGTTTTGAACAGAAGCATTCAACTTATTTCATCGTACAAGTTTTCTTTGAAGTATCGTGATATTACTCTTAGTTTTGTACATGATGCACAAGTGATTAAATATAGGCGACGCAGATGGTGGTTCTCACGACACGCACTCATGCGCATTTATATAGTCAGTGCGCATGCAGTAATGAGTATATATATCCATGGCAAGGAAAATTGTTACGATACTTAGACATAGGCAACTGTAATGACACAATTCTGTTATAAGCTTGAGTATAAATATACCTCTATATATAGAATTATATATAATTATTAGAACAATTAAGCTCACGTACAGCGAAGGACTTCAATTAAACTACAGACTTTATTCTCTTCTCTATCAAAAGACTTAAGTAGTCGAGTAGAAAGTATATATAGTCTTAGAAAATAGTTTATCTGTTACAATTCACATAAATTTATATAACTATATATGCATGTGACAGCCCTTGTTTTGCACCTAATTATATCTGAACTATAGATCCGTTTGGTTTTGAAATATCTCTGATCGGAGCGTTTTAGATATGTATTGTGTGAGTTTTTATTTCGAGGAAGCTCTGACAATTGCATATTCGTGAGCATCTCAGAAAATTATTCAATTTTAAACTCGTTCCTTATTCTCTCCACAATAACGCAAATTTGGGGGTTTTTTCGAGCCACAAGATATGTTGTTTCTAATATAAATTATATAGTCCTGCACGATGAACTTGTTTATATGTATTCCTATGGCGGATTTTCTTGCCAAACTTATATTTGTTTTCAAAACTAGCTCCAATTCTCAAACTATTATATAGAAGGATTTCTTCTCTCTTGTCTCTGATAGTAATATATTGTATTTGCATCTTCATGTATAGATCTATATAACTATAAGGCGTTATCCATGCATGGATTGATGATGTATAGGCCTATGTCTGCTATAGTTATCAATATAGACAATACTCAATATTCCCGTGTCGATCCCTCCAACAATCAAATCAGAGGACTATGAATATGATGGCTCGAATTTGTATTCCACTAGGTTCTCTCCTGGCTCTATACTGAATCCTCTATATACTGCCAATTTACACAAACTTGCATTGTTATACAATTATAGTCAATGTGTAGAATGTACTCGCCATTTGGTGTACATGTACGTCTTATATAGTCTAGCTATATTACATGCATGAGTTCTTTATATAATTTGTTTAAAAATTTAAGGTACAGCGCCTCACAATTTTAAGTTCTTGAATGTCATATAATTCCAAGCAAATTTTGTAGCCATCGCTCTGAATTTAAGACGGGTTCACACTATATCAAAGTTTCTGTGATCACAGACACAGCAGGAAATTCTTCTACTAAGTTTTGAAGCATTTGTAAGAATTATTTGAAGAAACTGACTCGGTGTTTAACACTGAGTTTGTTACCTATATGCAAAATTCCTACTGTGCATGGTCAACAAAAACTTTGGTATAGTGTAAGCATGCAGTCTTTACTCTTTAGGATCTGCAAATTAGTGCTTGTTGTTGCATGTACACCTCATAACGAAACCGAGCAGAAGTTTGTGGGTTGAATACTTAAAGGCAAATAGCGAAAGAACTACATGAGATTTCAAGGAATGGCAAAATGTATACTTTTTCCAGGCAGACTCCGGCCATTACCATGACTAACTCACGCATCAGTATATATGATATGGCAAAACTAGTATACATGATATTTGTTTATAGGCTATACTTCAGGTAATTTTAGAATCAGCTGAACAATCACGGGTGAAAAACTTTGTTTTCACAAGCTGAATCATAAACACATGCAAATATACGTAATGGCGAACACAATATACGATCATTGTTCCCATGCATGTCTGCACGACTGAGGAGTGGTTCACTCAAAATATCACAAGTACATTTATGACGCACATCATGGTTTCAATGAACAAGTAGGCTGATGATCATATATTTTAAGCCGATAATATCTAAGGCAAAGTACAGGCATAACAATATCAACAGAGAGTTTTTATAGCACGTATTTTTGTCTTACATAACAAAGTATAAACTTATATTAATAATAACTTTAGTTTTGTATTATACTGAAAAATAACAATAAACAATATTGGAACTATATGTGTATATCAAACTAAGCCTGCACAGCACTCTTCAGTGACTGGTACATCACTTTGATTGTAATCCAAGCAATGAACATCTGAAACTTTCTCCGACATATTGCACATATTGCACTGATGCAGTTGATTGCAGTAGGGCATCCTGCACCCGAGCTGACTTCAGACAGAAGTAGATAACATACAAATTATGTATAGACATTGCATGCTGAGGCGATTTACAAAGAATAAGAAGATTACTGTATGCACATGCATGCAGGACTAGCATTTAAAGATTTGAGACTGTATATTGGAAAACATAATGTAAACGTTTTACGGCACATATAGTATTAAAAACAAGGGAAATATATGCGCAATGAAATTGGAGAATGCATCTCATGCATATCTCATGCATATATGATTCTTGTAATTGAATTATATGTATGTTTTGTAAAGTTCAACCTGTTCTATACTAATTTTGTTATAGCTGGATGTTAATCACTGGTACGGTATGGCTTAATGTTCTAGACAAAGAAATGATGTTGTTGTTAAACATGCACGGTAAATGAACGCATGAAGTATAAACGTGATATACGTGCACATTCGGCTTGTTTGCGGGTACAGAAAGCGAGTTAGTTTTTGTCAGTTTTTCTAGAGTTTTGTGGTTGTTTGCGCCATGAGGTTGTGCGTTTGGCAGTTCACCACGTGTGCATTACCAAATTGAGACTACGTATTTAGTGAACAAGTCAAATTTATCATGTAAATTTCCGCATGATATATACAGCTAACAAGTAATATAGGACCAGCATTTCAAAATGGTCGCTGATTCGCATTGCCGCCAAGTGTCGATACAAATTAACGTTGAAAGTTTCGTTTTCTATAGCTACAGGACTCGTTTTCTTACGGATTTTTTAACGTTTTATTTTAATTATCTGTACTAATCTTGGAATACATTTCTGTAATTACATGCTAGTATATCCAGCATCAGAGAATGTTTCATTTGCGCAGAATGATGCACTCTACGCATGCAGTAGCTAAGAAAATATAATCTTTTTATTTCTAACGCAAATCGATCGTTGTAGAGTTCGATAATGTTCCAGCAAAGCCTGCTGCTGGATCATACACAAACCATGATGTGTAGAAGTGGGAATAAGTAGTTGAGTGCATACGAATTCGGTTTGCGTTGGGAACTAAAGCGTTTATAAGCGTACCATCACATACAAAAATAAAATGTATCGACTCAACAAACTATAATAATATACTAAATGTACAGGGCCAATTGTCGCCATTCAACTCTGAATTATGGATACGTGTGAACCTTTGGCCTTGTTGCATGCTTTTAATTTGCTATTAGAGAGATTGCGCATTAATATACGCACCCTATATCTATACCCATAGTCCATGATATTCAAGCGTCGAAAAACAACCGTACGTATTCCAAAACTGTACATTTTGTACTTTCAAAAACAACATGTACAGTTGTTCTACATAGGATATTGTATAGTTAAAATTTTTTTTGTTTAATTGCAACACGATGCGCTTCAACAGGCAAGTTATAAAGCACCATATCACGCTAATAAAGGAACTTATTTGACAAGGTATGTGTGTATTCACCTTGATCATATCTTTTAAAACATTGTATGAGTAAAACTAAACCAAGCAAAAATGTGCGTCAAATTATGGTAGTTACGTACCTGATTTGAAAGTATTTGCGCAAAAATGTGGCGAATCAATATTTCCTGGCTAATACAAATATGTTGTTTTTCCAAATGTGATAGCGATGAACCGTTGCGAGTTCGAACCCGGTCTATTTCCCACCAAAGAAGCCTCTAAGACTACGAACCTATCAACAGGTCACGCTGTTAAAATGTGTTTGGTTGAAGCCATATTAGGTTTCGAATGTGCAGACATTGGCGCCCATTTAAAGCGACGCACGTCAATTTTGTCTGTGGTTGGAAAAAATTTATGTTTATATCGCCCAAGCAGTCGTGATCAACGCGATGTTTCCAAGACGTAATTTCATAACACAGCTGTAGCTGCTTCAACGCATTCCTAACCCAAGGACATTAGCCTTGAGATTTTGTCGTGACTCTTGAAAATAACGCAATTTGTGTCTCACGGAATGTCAATCGTGTTCGCGATATACGAAATGCGCGCGAGTTGTATGCAATTATCTAACGAATCTAACAAGTTGACATTTTGTCATCTATCGTCCATTTTGCAATCGGCGTTTTAGATCAACATGCAGTTACTTGTGTTAACTGTTGTAATATTGATCGTGTTATAGAACACACAGTTTGCAGTTGGAAAATTAAGTTCCCATTTAAGTAAAGTATATGGCGTGGAGTCTTTATAGTGTGCTGTCTGTGCATGCCTTAACAAGCAACATATTTACAAACAGTTATTGCTATAGTTTGTAATACGGTACTCGATGACGTCAAATGGTAAAAAAGGAAGTTTCAAGAGTTTTCTAAGCATTCAAAATTTGTTATGTCGTTCATTTCAAAACATTGCGCTCACTCATTTTCCAAAACTTTTTCTTGGCATTGAAACAGTTTCGGAACATATTAAGTATACACCATGTCATCTTTGAAGATTTTGTTGAAACAAAAAATTCTTAGAGGGTCAACTTGGCGACACCATGTCTGTTGCGGTATCTTTGAGTTGGCTCGTAGTTCTAAGGCCAGGTCGTAGCACTTACTTCATTTCTGACGGGAGCACGGGCCGAGACGTGATATGAACGGCATGGTATAGGCTGTGGTAGAGCTAGGCGGTGCAGTATTTGCGGCGAAGGTATACGGCGCCATAAAACGTCACCAACATCTGTACGCTGTATATTAATGCCCACGTTCTTACGACTGAGTGACTTTGATATTCATAATCAATATTTGCTGCTTGCCTTCAGAATTGTACAACTTATCAATCATTTTATCTTGAAATCGATAATTGTATAATTATCACATTTAGTTGTGCATGCGAGTTGTTGCAAACGACGACCTACCCCGGCTGACCTCAGTTAGAGACATTATGTTATATAACCCGCTTGAAATTTGAAAGTGTTGCAAAAATACTCGCAACCTTTCTAGAATACTATTATAAGGTCTATATATACACATAATTGTATTTATAATGCGTATTCGCAACAAACGCGTGCTTCCCCAACACTGCAACAGCGTAGTTGACATTCTCCCAATACCTTTTGTGACTTGAATATTTTTTTGTTTGTCTTAGACAGTCTGTGTTGAGAAATGGAGCACTGATTAGGCGTTAATGATTGTTTGCTTCAAAGACAAAATTTGAATAAATATTTTCTCGTGCTTTATTGAACAAATGATTAAGCCGGTTATGATAATATGCAACATGTGAGTTGTGGACAGTTGCGACTTTATTTCAGTTTTTTTAGTGGTAATCCGAGATAAACTCTCTCAAAACATATAGATGTGTTATCAGCGACGTGTTGTCGAGTTCGCACATTAGTGAGTTTTTAAACTGCATCGTTTAAGATATACGCACGACGCAATTTGCCCGCTGTTTTAAAGTACCTCTTCCGCTCACAGTTTGAACAAATTTCTTATCTCAACTGCGCAATTTTTTAATAATTGCTTCACAAAGGTAACACTGTGAATATTATTTAACACAAAGACTTTAGCTTATCTAACTCATTTAACTCAAGCAGGCCATGTATACCAATATACAGAATACACTCATGCCATTGACATTGTTGGTATACCGAAATTAAATAGATCAAGACGTACTAACATCGACCGTATGCCGAAATTCCTCGTTTCTGCCGACTTTAAGGTATACAATTCATATTTATGTACAATACTATAACAATAGTCAATATAGAGCAATTCAATGTACCCTTGAAGATGTTATTTATAGTAATATGTCGAGACGAGCGTTCTATTATTGTCGTATAACTTTAGCTATAAAGAAGTGTATAGCGGAAGACGTCAATTATAAACAAGAAAGTTGATTATTTGCCTTATCGTTTCATTCTAACCCCAGGTTCATCGAGTGTCCCTTTCTTCCTTTAGCAAACGTAAACAATATGATTATCCGATAAACGCAGTGCAAAGAAACCTTTAATCTTTATCGCGTTCCCGGTCCAGTAAAATAATGAGAATAAATCTCTTCGGACATGCTTCACATGAGCCGATTTGTCTTCTAGCGACATATCGCAACTCTAATCATATGTTTGGTGCCGTAATGAACTATTAGTAAGGATTTTACTATCTCATTAGGCCAAGGCAAACAAATTAAAGATGTGTACGTAATAAAAGTCAAATAAATAGGAACGTTCTGTGTTGTGGTTTTAATTCCTCACTCCACGTGGTCGGATTGACGTGTCCACATAAAGCTGGAGACTTATATTTCGAAGATTAGCTAGCTTTATAATCGAACCTAACACCTTTAAAGAGTGGCACTGAAGTGATATAATCTCGGTTTGCACTTAAACACGGATTTTCCGTCGAGCCCGACATAACAAAACGCTCTTTTAGAATTAGCAAATCTCGGCTAATTAACACAAAAGCAACGAAGCAGCACCCCGCAATCGCGAAATCTTCACCTATCGTGATGGTTTTTTCAACATTTTGCTTACCTACAGCGATATTCAATGTCTCGTGCCACTCTACAATTCTCTCAGCACCCCAAAATGTTTGTATATGATCCGGGTTTACGGCCACTGCTGTCAACTCTAAAGTTACATTGTTTATGCATTTTTCAACAGTGGCGACAGCTAGGCGCCCTCTCGCCCTCTGTATAAATTTGATCTTTTGTAGTGGCAGAGAATACTGAAAATAGCGTACACATTCAACTAATTTTTTGACCTTATTTTTTATACCGCCTGCTATTTACCTTGTGTCTTGGCTACATTTTTTTACACACGTGACGCGTTTTTCTGCTTAGAAGCAAATAACGCGATGCTTCTCAAGAGTTAACAGCTGATTGCTATTCTCTCTCTCTCAACCAAATTTTGCATGTATTTCTTACCAATGAGCAAGCCAATGCGGCATATCAGACATATGCATGCACATTTACACAATTACAAATATGTACTTTTGTCCGCGTATACATTTTCGAGCATGTGTTAAACTGTTTCTCGCCTCATTTCAAATTTTTCGTGTTTTGAAAGTGAGCTGATAAACGTTTTGGGTGGCCTTTGACTTGAGGGCGGAACGACCTGACAAAACTCATTCCAGATTCCATTCTTCTTAATTGTAAAAATCAGGCAGTTTGATTTCCGTAGTTTAAATGCGAACCAGAAGGAATGATATTATATTCTAGGCTCCTTTCTGGCGAGCAACGTAAGTTGTACAATGCATTGATGCGAATTATGAAAAATGCCTGCTTGTGGGATACGTGCAATACTTGGAATTTTTCCTTCATTGGCCATTAGCTTCCAGTTAATTTTGACAAGGACATGCGCAAGAAGCATGCGCAAGAAAGGCAAATATTCCACAAATCTCGGCATTATATCAAGACTGTTTAATTAAAGAAAAGATTTTAATCTGGATTTTGATGAATGTCAAAATATTTTTTGGAGGACCAAATTTTTCTCATGTTATTTTTCTTGCAATTTACTCTTCATCCCACATTTACATCCGTCCACACTCCTACTACAGTACTAGTTTCATTCAGTTCAATGTCAGTTGCTATACAGTTGCTCAGCTTCTCATTGCGTTTTGATACATTACTAATTGCTCAATAGTCAGTACCAGGTAAAGCTATACCCAGATGAACGCAAAAATTCCTGCTTGTTTTTACATCCAGTACCTTGATTCAATCAACAGTCGAACAGGTTTTGGAAAAGGCTGTAAGTCTATTAATAATGATATAATGGCCCTATAATTGTGACGTTACTGTAGTTCCACGGATTTGGTAGCAGGATTCTCATGTAAAACGGAGCCGCATCACTACTAAGTTTCTGCTCACACAGCTTGTACTGGAGCTAATTGTTGAGCTTATAATGTTATACTAGAGCATGTTCTTGCGCAATATGTGACTACCACTGATCATTTGTTTTATCGAATATCGATGATCAAGTAAATGAGTAAATGTTCATTAGGGTGTGACGGGAAGACCTAATAGACAACTTGCATGTTAGACAAATTTGTGATTTAGGCAAAAAAAAGTAAATTCCCGTAAAGAGCTTAGTAAAATCAGTAAAATTGCAAAATTTGGTTGCGAAATGTTGTTAAATGCAGAAAATATAGCCTTGCCAAGTTTGCAATTTTCAGTCATTTTGTATTACGTTTTGCGAGCCGAAAATGGTAACAATTTCCGCACGTAATACAAATATACTGAAAATATGCAAACTTCGCAAGGCTATATTTTCTGCATTTTACAACATTTCGCAACCAGATTTTGCAATTTTACTAATTTCATTAATTTATTTTTAACTGTTGTGTTTTATTCCCTTCTCTTTACTTTGATTAAAATTTAGTCTAACATGCAAGTTGTCCATTGAGAGAGAAATTGAGACACTAGATAACAAATGTTCTGGGGACTGGGCCCAAACATTGCGGAAAGCTTGGGGTTTTGGATAATATACCTGCAGGATCTGGCAAGTTTTTCTGCGTGTCATAATGTCATTGCTTTTTCTTCAGTTCATGACCATGTAATGATATGTAGGAAAATTTCTCAATTCTGATTGACTGCATGAGACCCGTGAAATGGCTTTTTAATAGCACAACACTACAATACAAAAAGTAAAGAAGGGAAGAGTCGGCCTGGGAACGAGAAAAGGAGAACGGGATAAATAAAACCGTTTTCAAGAACTACATATTACATTTGCCTTGGTGGAACTTGTGCCCTTCCCGGAGTACTTTGACTCAAACACCTCACTTGAGTAAAATAATGCACCACAGTGACTTGCAAGATTTTGAGTAAAATTGCTCAAACTATTTGTGTAGGTAATAGTATGGTTTCGAGTGTTATTTGCCTGGGGAAAACATGCACGAGTGAGTTTTTCAAAGACGATCAAAATTGCACGAGTGCGAAGGACGAGTGCAATTTGAAGTCTTGAGTGTATGTTTTTCCAAATTCCACAAGAAACCGTACTATTACTTATTAATAATACACTTTAAAAAATTATGCAGTCATGTCCATGCGTAGGTCACATGGCGAAATAGATAATTTTAATAGGCCTATAGACAATTTTATTAGAAAATTTTGTCACTCGTAATGTTTGGGTTTTTTGTATTATTTTCACATTTTGCACTGCCACTGTATTTCATTTTTTTGTACTGTATTTCACTTTTTGGCACTGTATTTCGAAAAATTGCACTGCTCTTAAGCCAATCAGAATTGAGAATTTTTTTCATGTATATATTGTTAATACGCAAATTTACTCGATTTTGATGTACTTAATTACATGTACTCAAATATGGGTAAATTTGCGCATAAATTTGAGTAATTGTACTCAATATATTAAGTCACTGGCACTGCCATACTGCATGTGGATCAGTGGATGCATTATTTTTCTCTAATTTTGAGTCAAACAGTTTTACAGAGTTGAAGAATATTGATGTTTTCTCACTCGATTTGTTCAGAAAACAAAACTAAAGGAATTTTTTGTTAACTTAATTAAATTATACCGTGGCCGTGGACCATGTGAACAAATTCTCTTGTTACACTTGCATACGAATTCTAATTTTATATCAATAGACGAGGGCCATTCGGTGGAATATCGTTAAGGTGATAATGTGAGTATATATAATCTCACCCTTCTTGAAATAAAATTTTGTTATTATTCTTATTATTACTCGTGATTGCAGAAACGTCGATGCGTTAGTTATACATCATAAAATGTAGAGCAGACATTACTGCAATGTTTGTTTGTTTGTTTGTTTTCATGCTTGTCGCTCACGATTTTCCGTTTCTCATGGCAATAAAATGACATACACCTTTGAATGCCGGGCAAGGAATCGTGCCACCCAGAGTTGACATGCAAGATGAATATCACCGAAATGAAAGATAAAGCCAAGATTCTATGACAATACTGCATGCCCTTAAACTGCGTTTAAGTCTTATTTCCGCAGTCTTGGCCAGCCCAGAGGGCCAAGCCCAAAGTTTTGATTAAAGCTGTCAAACCTCTATTAACACTCAGCGCTCAGTTGATGTAATAAACTCAGGTGATGAAGACTGGGAAAAATCTGTGATCATGCAATTATAGGTTATTAAAAATCCTAGATAACTCTATACAGACTATATAAAGTATGACAATTAAATTTAACATATTCTCCTTCGGTTTCGAAATAGTTCAATGTATAACGTTACATTCATGATCAGTTACCAATTTCATTAAGAAGAAAGTAGGCCTACAATAGTAACATAGCATTCGAAAGCTATGGTCTATGGACATCCTCTTTTCGAATCTGAATAATTTTGAAGATAGCATCTAATCTCGAAGAGTGATAGTGAATTTACTTTGGCACACAGTAGATTTGAAGTTAAGTCTATTTTCTAAAAGTAATAAATATTTGAACCTCTGCGGAGTTTGTTTGGAAAAGTGTGGAAGGGAGGAGGCCGGGGAGCATGCGAAGCAATGAATCTACTGCGGTCAGATTATATTTTGCCCATTTATATCAACTACTGAACTACACCTTCCTATTTGATGAACGTTCGAAATTGTATGTCTGCTTAAGACATACGTGGTTTTAATATGCTATTTAAAACATATTATACAGTACTAGTAGGCTATTCGTTTCCAAAGGAAGATTTAGAAAATGCAATTCAAACTTCTTCGAAATGGCCCTCGACAGCCGAAGCAAAAATCGAAAATTCAAAGTGTCTTCAGGTTCAAATTGTCCTGTATTACATGTAGCCTAATATAGCAGTTCTGTTCGCAGGCTATATATCATTATGCCCCTTGCACGCACATTCAAAATTTCTCAGATTTTGTGCTAGCTGTATGCATGTTAGTGCATGTTTTATTCTCAGTTGTCAGACACTCAATTCTGTCTGAACATGATTTCTATATCTATCATGGATCAGTTCAGGAGTACGATTTCTTTTCTTTCTGTCCCATATATCTTTTCATCTAATCTATATTACACCTCGCAAAAGAATTTACATGAAACCTAAGGAATTGTGTTATTTTAAACGCTAATGGTTTGTTTTAAATACACAAGTAGTTGGTTTGTTTTAAATATATACAACTATTCTTTTAAATATTATCGTCTGGTCTATATAGACCATATTGCGCGTCGAAATAAAATGCGCGGAAACAGCTTAAAACATAAGTTAATTACCGATAAAAGATGGACTCTTGCGTGAATGTTGTATCGCGCGTGCAAGATATTTGATCTGATCTTTAGAGTACGAAAGAATCTTGTCGATCAGATAAGTTTTCTTTGATACAGTAATAGTTTGAAAGGTCACACATATACGTAGCACAAGGTGTCTTATCAGCCTTGATCGTTTGCTGAACAACTCTATGAAAGTCGCTACATTTGATGCTATCTTGATCCTTGTCGCCAAAGCACGCTTGATCGCACTTCATTCATTATATACAAATGCAAAGCACCGTTGAATTGCAATTTTTTTATCTTTATTTGCGCTTCTTTGAAATACTGTATAGACGTTTCTTCATTTTCCCAGAATACTCTTACTTCGAGCACTTAAATATACGATGTAGTGGGATATTGATGATGATGCTGGACAATACCAGCGGTGAAATTATATAATTACGCATCATATAAATTTTCTTGTTTTACTTTGCGAGTAGTAATTGCAACTTTTCCTACCTTCAATTTTCCGCGCTGTGCTACGTTCCAACAGGATCTTCTGTACTTCTAATCTGCTTTCCGCGTGTATACTACGTTCCACGCCAGTCGAAAAATGTTTCCGTGCCACGACGAGTACAATTTGACAGGAATTTTCTTCTATTATTGTCAAAAACGGTCCCTTTAGCGTGTACCGGGTATTACCTATTAACATGAACAGGTTTATTTATAATTAATAGCGCGATTAGTCAATATTTGTTAAAGGGACTAATGTATATTAGAAATCTCACATATTTAACGAACTTTTGTTCCACAATTTGCGACCACACCCTCAAAGCTCGTTAAATATTCACGCAATAGACAATGAACAATATGGCGACATCGTAGTGAAATCCACGACATTTAGCCTTATCCCGTGTTTTATCAGCTTTTTACAAAGATCTTCAGTTATAGTTTTAGCTTGAATATGTGTACAAAATATGATTATCAAGTTGTCGCTATCGATTTCGGTTTGTTATACGGCACAGCTGGTCAGCAATCATGATAACGCGATTTGCGGTCAAGCTGCTCTCCGCCGCCTTATGCATATTTTATAAACAGGTGCGTTTGCACATCTAATGAGTAGAGTTTTTGTCCCCAGCAGTATAGCAAAACAAGACCAGCTTTGTTTAAAGCCGTATTGAATAAATTATGGGCTTGGGGAAACACTTTTAGACTTATATTTATAACTTTTTGGCAAATCCATTCCATTCCATCGCGCTCGCAATTGTTATGATTCATTGGAATTTTATGGGATTACAAGTTGAATGGAGCTCATAATAGAGATATAGTATTATCTCATATAGGCATTATCCATATCTAGCCATACAATAGAATATCGCGGTTCAGTTTTATTACTCATTATACTTATCAGTGAAAACGACCATATATTTTGTATCAGTTTGGGCATCTCTAGCTCGTGTATTCCTATAAACAGTTGCCTATTCATGCACATCTAAACGTGCGAATATCAGTGGTTGAAAATACAGGAACGTCTTGAAATAGCAACACCCTTCCTCTCAGGTTTAATTAATTTTAACCGATTCGAAAGGAAATCTGCATTCAAGAAGAAGGAACAATTAGCGTAATTAGAACAAAATATTTTTCTGCACTAACATGCAAACTAGAAAGTAATTACTTTATAATGAGTTATTATATTGTTGTACAAAGCGAGAAAAAAACCCCGGAAAGTGTTGTCGTGTTGAACACCTTAAGGCGATTCCTCCCCCCTTGTGTACGCACAAGAACTAATTAGTTTTCCAGCGATAGTGGTTCATGTGGGGCTAATCACTCATCGAGCTGTTTAAAATCCGGCGGTGAAAGCAAATTAAAAATTTAAAACAGCCAGTTTCTCGGGGCGATTATGATATTTTAAACTCAATTGCTGGCTCCGTGATTATGACTTTTATATGTTTTGTCTAGAGTTCGGGGTCTATCATAGTTATAAAATTGATGTACAACAGTTTAATGGTCAGTAAATATTCAACATTATGTACGTCATCCGCGTTCCTGAAGAGGAATGATGTTGTTTCACAATTTCATTTTACTGTTTGTAATTAAACTCTTTCAATACTGATATAGGAATAACACTCAGCAATTCAAACTCAGAACCATGCATATATATAGGCAGAGAAATTAGCAATAATGGACTAATAATTAGCAAACTACTCTGTAAGCTCATCTCTCGAAACGTTGCAGTGTTTTAATCTAGGAATCGATGCACCACTCCGAAAAGTGTACCACGGATCTTTGGGATTTCGAAAATTCCTTGGTATATTATTAGGGATTTGTAGGAATTTGGGGATTTTCAGGGATTTTATGCGGATCTTTTTAAGATTTTGAGAGATTTATTAGGGGATTTTTAGGGGTTTTTTCCAGGTGTACCGGAGATTTGTTGGAGTGATACACCCCTCGGTTTAGTCTTTCTTTAGGCTGATGTCCATGACCATCAACATCTAAGCTAGACCACGATTCCTAATAATGGGGAAAAAACGAAATCTGATTCCCAAAGAAAACTGCAGATAGCTAGTGTTTGTGACTCGATCGCTGTTATTCCATAGTTTTATTGGGGTTTTCCAGACTATCACAGATTCCACGGTCTTTTTCTAACTAATTAAACTGCAGGGGCAATTGGTTCCATTCTTTTGCTCTTTGTAATTCTTCATATGCAGCTAGACGAAGAATGACACGTTCCCCAGTCCTTCAAAATCCTGGAATTTGAAGGAAAAAAATTACCAAAGTTATCAATGTTTGGGAAATAATTATAATGTACACTGGTATTAAGTTGATAAGATGATATCCCATCCCGAAAAGTATGTGGTGCGCCAATTATGATATGAACTGAGAGGAATCCTCCGCTATATATAGTTAAGGGAAGGAGTTGATCAGAATCATTGAATCCAGATCGTTAAATTAAAATGTGAAAGGTATAAAAGATATTTTCATTAAATTCGACGGTGGTGCTGTCGTGATCAAGTCATCAATCGATGACGTGAATGATTGGCCACTTTTATATGTTTCCCTTGCGAGACCACTTAATTCGGGGAGCTAGCATGATCTTTCAATAAATAATAATTAGAAAAAAATAAGAAAAATCTAAAAGTAAAGTCTACTACCAGTACCAGTACTAGGACATTTTACTTGAATAAATGCATTAATAGAAAGGTATGAGCGCTGTTAAAAGCTTTTTGTTTAAATTTTAAGCCGGTTTTCAAGAATACATAGTCGTTTCGAACGATGACCGTGCTCTTCACATGCGTAAAAAGATTGAGACTGGCTTTCATGTTTGGCTTCAAATTTCTGGTTGGAGCTAGCGTTCCAGTTATATTAATTTCACTGCCTCGAACTATAATCAGAACTTCGACGTTTTATCACGGCCACTAACCTCACGACGAAAGGCCTTCGCTCGAAACGTCGAAATTCTGCTTATATGAAATTCTGTATCACTCACAATCCGCAGCTGTCTCATGCATAAGTCACTGGATTGAAGAGTGTGATTTAATGAGCCTGGAATATTCTTATCATGCACCATTATTTCTTCAATCCGCATTTGGGACTGAGTACGAATCAGCTCTTACCCCTCGACGCAAGCGTCTGATTTCCACAACCATTGGAGTGAAGAGGGTCAATGTGCGGCGCTGCGTGTTACAGACACGAATTCTGAAATGCATAATTTGTTTGGTTTCAGCACTAGCTTCTCCTACAGTTAACCCTATGTTTCATCCATTGAATGTTTCATTATATATTATATATGGTTTATTCCCAAATCTAGCTTGGAACGAAACTATCTTCCTGAAACGTGCAAAAAGCTCTTATTGATCAAACATAATGGGTGTTGGATCGACTCAAAAAGTGAGGGGTCCATGTCAGTGCCATTACCTGGGAGGTACGACGCTCCATTAAGAGATACATGGTTTTTCCCGGGGGTGAGTGGCATGCTTCTCTGGGAAATGTTTGTTTATATACCGTTTCTGAAATCCCACTCCCTGCATTGTTTAGCAAAATATTTAGAAATATCTAACTAAATTAAAATATGGAGGGGTTCAAACAAACGACGCCCCTGTTAAACATTAACATCGCATAAAAAATAGCGATAGTAAATACATAATATTTAAGTGCAATCTAAAATGATATCTTCTTCTGAAGATTATTAGATGTCATAAATCAAAAGTGATTACAGAAATTTTCATGGAAATTGCATCGCTATTGTATTTATACTATATGATCGTGCCGTTATATTGATAATAGGGAGTTTAAGCTTCACGTTTCCGGGAACGCCAAACGGCAGGTTTGAACTTTCTTGGTAAAACTTTTTCGTTTCATATTTTCTTTCTTGTGTCGAAAGAATAATCATGCATTGCAGTTTTGAAACAGCAAGTTCATTTACTTTTTATTGCCTGATACCGTAAATTTTTGCTTTGCCTGCATGGCGTTTGCTGTTTGACGTATAACGTGAAGCTTAAGCTCTCCATTGTCATTGATACTGATAAAATATCGAATAAAACGACCAAATATACTTTATTAAAAGCCCCGTTTACACTTGCAATTTTTGTCGCGATTTCTAATCCCCCAACCAAAAAAATACTTGGTTAGCGTCACCCTCTCACAAATTTTCAGAGGCGGGCGGGTGGATTTTTTTTTAATTTTTACTCGTTTTTTAATTTTTTAATAGTATTTTTGGAGGGGATGGGGGGCGGTTTTTCCACCATATCGGTGATATTTTTTGTACTGACGTTGCGAAGGCCGCCATTTTGCTTTAAGAACCTTGTATACCCAAGCCTACGCGCTCCTATCGATCAGTATATAGCGCGAAGGTCTGAGCATGAGAAAAATTTCAAATATTAAACTGTTTTAAGCTGTAAAACGAGGAGATTTACATAAAAAAATAAAAAAAAATTCAGAGGCGGCAGAAAATCGAGAGGCGGGCGGTGACGCTAACCAAGTATTTTTTTTATTTGGCCTAATGCGAATTTCTTTTTCTGATGGACGAGTTACGAATGTTCTTGAGTACGTACATCTGAACATTCGTGATTCATCCATCCGTTCACATAACAAAAATTGCAAGTGTAAAACTGATCTTTACTGAATTGCTGCGCATGTTTGCGCATGCAATTTGCACATTCGAAGAACATTCTGGTAGTTGTGAATACACATGAGTAAGGCATACATCTTCAGAGAATAATTGATTCATAAGGTTTTCATAAACTGCGAAATACTTTTAAGATTTAATTACTTTTAATTGAACAAACGTGTGAAATACCTTGAAGCCACCTTGTACAGATTTGGACCTCAGCTTATATATTATATTGTGCTGTTTCGTGGGTGGCTTGTATTGATAGGATGCATAATAAATAATAACCATATGTTATAGATTGTTAAAATATGGACATATTCCGAGCCTCCAGGGATAGTCTGGAATGAAGCCATTCTATTTTACCCTTGCTACTTTACTATGTTTTAGCCGCCTTCCTGACTGTAACATATACAAGTGTTCATTAAGAATTTGTGGAATACAGCATTATTTCAAACCGCGATATTTAGTAACAACTTCTTATACTGTCTGAGAGACACTGCTTCATCTACAGTATAGCTCACTAGATGTATACGAAATCAGTCAGTCAGTCAGTCAGTTGACTTGAAGAACGAAACCCAGATGAAACGTGAATGAGAGTGCATGAGAGTTGGTAGTCACCGGGCTCACGCGACCTTGGTTAGCTTTCTCAACATCATCATGTATTTTATATAAGTTAAAACGTAGTTGGGACACTCATCAAACTTTGATTTTATTAATCTAGAATTTGAAATGTCCCTGTAACAATTTGCCAGTGACTGACAACTCTCAGCAACTCCCATCAGGCTCGTTTGACCGGGGCGCCACCGAGCGAGAGCAACGAGCGTGGCCCTGGGGACGAGGATGCTGGGGCTTTAGAATATGCATATCATTTTATTGAACTGTTCAACATTTGCATATGAAAAAAGTTGCCCAAAGAACATTGAATACTCCGCGAAGTTGATTCGCTTTAAATTAAATTTGAAAATATATTCCCTTATAGGTGTACTTTTCTCTACTGTTTTGCTTTACACAGTAGCCGCAAAATACGCTAGTAGAAAAATATTTATTTTGCAATTCTACTCAGTACTGTATTGTGGCTACAGGGTGTCCCAAGAAACCAAAAACTATTAAATAATTAACGCATTGTTAGAATTTGAATGCCTCGGCACTCTGCTGAATCCACAAGTGCATATAAAAGCTTGGCATAAGTAAATTTTATGCATAAAGAAACTGTTTAAAAAAATGTTTGTAAGAGAGATTCATGTAATAAATCGTAAAGTTATTTTCGTTTAGAATTTATTAAGAAGCTGCTTTAAATTCCCAAGAACAGAAAATCGTGCGCTTACAAAGATATTTTAATTTCATAATAACTGAATATTTAATATGTGCACCCTGTCAATATTTTACGCATCTTTGCGTTCAGCTTTGTACTAGGGCATTCGAATTCTAACAATACGTTATTTCAATAGTTTTGGGGGTTTTTTTTGGACACCCTCGTGTATAAGTGAAACACAAATAATGGGCATGTAGTAAAACACTGACTACCGGAACACCGGAACACCGCCGGAACACCGGTGGTGTTCCGGTGTTCCGGTAGTCAGTGTTTTACTACATGCCCAAATAATGATTGAATAGTTCAATACTTTTATGTGCATATTCTAATCCCTTCAGTCTCAGCCACATGTTATGATTCAAATGCAATTTGTTCCCTGCGCAAAACGCGCCATGAAACTCCGATTTCGTCTAGAAGCAAAACGTGTGCACAAGTGACCTCGACCTTGAGTATCGTGTGTCATGTCAGTGTTTATACTGACGACTCTCGTTCTTTACTCGATTCTATATTTCATCGACATCGTGTTACGTTGTTTTATAAATCGAGGTTATAATGAACCGATCACAGAAACCGTTCTTAACATCCCTAAGAACCCCCAACCTTGCGATTTTTCATTTTACTCACGACACATGCATGCGTGACTAATTTGGCCCCTTTTTAACACTCATTCAGGGCCGTAGTCACTTGGGAATGGGGGAGGGGGCAGGACCAGACCCACTCTATTTCAGGACCAATTTTGTAATTCTTCCAAAACTGAGGAGGAACTTTAGGGCGTAACCTCGAAATGATAGGCGTCAAAAGATCGATAAGTGAGAGGGGGGACCATATTCATATATTCGTGTTCTGCATTATTAATTTCTTTTGAAATCAATTGTTTTTACGGTCTGTGAACACGAATATATGAATATGTCCCCCCCCCCCACTTATCGATCTTTTGACGCCTATGCTCGAAATGCTTTCATCTATGAAATTACCGAACTCCACAGTTGTTCTGCATATTCGACTATTGGACCACCCTCGCCCATGCACTCATTGACATTGTTTGTTCTGCATGAGCTTGCAATTATTGTGGTTATGTCAAGCGACTCAATTAGCTTGTCCTCTTTGTTTGAACAACGAAATATATTATAATTATAATATAGAAACGCACATGTCCGTTGAGTTCAGGGAAGTTATCCATATACTCCGAGTGGAAAAATGTGTGTGTAGCACAGATTTTGCAATCTCAAATATTTACAGCTAGAGGGCACAGTGTTTTTGAAAACGTCTTATCTGCAGGTTAGGCTATAGCTGTCACGCTATCTCTACCAACTCTATTGGCTTACGTACGGTATTGACTATTGGGTGGTCATCTGTAATTTCTCAGTTCGGGTTATTGTATTTCACTTGAGTTTGGTATTTCGAGTTTTAGAGAATATAGCTTTTACAGTTTTAGCAATTCAAGGGACCGGTTGTAATAGTATAAAAAGGTAGTTGAGTGGGAAGGTCAAAATGGCATATTTTAAGAGTTAGAGTAGAGCATATTTTGAGAAATGTATACGCAGTGCCGTAACGGAGGAAGCCGGGGGGCCCTCAGGCATTTTTGGTGTGGGGCCCCTGTTGACTGTTGTTATTGTTTGACTGAGATATTATATTTATATTGAATATTTATAGAATGTTCTGGAAAATTCCGTGTCTGTAACAATAACAGTCTCCAACACAACCGTAATAAGAATTGATTTATTTTATTTGAGATAAAATAACAAAATCAGTTACCATTGTCGATGGAGGCTTTATTATTTAACATTATTAATTTTGCATTTTCCCATTGATTCTTAACCTGCATTTATTACGTTTTCTAATTTTCTGGGCGATAGGCTGTGGACTTATATCAGAGTATATTCGAAATAAATCTCTGCAGTTGTAATGTCACCTTTATGCATAATGACGTCACAAGGCTCGATGCCCGCGAGGAATGCTGGTTTTAGTGTATAGTCATCGCCCGGGAAAATTTCAGTAGTGGCCATCTTGAATTGTTTAATTTTCCCGCCTACATCAAGCCTTTCGTTTCTCACAAACACAGTCATGCACAAACACCCAGTCTCCGCTTCTGATTTCAAAATCCTATCGTCAAGCACTTCTGAGTGGGATCTTCTTATCCGTGAAAGCCTATTAATTTCTCAACCTAACCCTGTCCTTAATGCTAATATTAGATCTACCCCTCTTGAGTTATTTTAGTTATGTAATATTGACCTTAACTATACTAACCATGCACTTAACCTTAACGTCGTTAATCTTTACTAATTAACTAGTTTATACTGATAAGTTGTTTTCCTTTTTTTCTATTTATTTGTTCTTTCAAACTTTGTAACCGTTTTTGTAATATTAAACCATTGTTTTGCAAATGTATATATATATATATATATATATATATATATATATATATATATATATATATATATATATATATATATATATATATATATATATATATATATATATATATATATATATACCGTACCTGTAATTTCATTTAGATTGCTCTGAAGATGTTGTATTGTAAAAAACGAAACGTTAGCTATTAAATTTTTTAACTTTTGGTATGTTTGGTTTTAAAGTTATTTGCTGGGCTCTGCTTTTTATCTTTAAATTAAGGTCTATTCAAACAAGCAAGGAGGTTTTAAGAGCAGGTTGTTATTTAATTAAGTTAATTCGCTTACTATTTATAGAAACGAAAATCACGCACGCCATGTAAATGTCAGTCGCACACGCGACTAAATTTATAATGTTTGTATTCGAACTGTCGAGTTTTGTCTGAAGTTTAGACTGGGTTGTTTTGTAATTTCTCGATCATTATCAATCACATAATTTATACAAGTTATAGAGAGATCGCGAGATAGGGTGTTCTTCGTGTCGTCGTTTAATGAGAGGTGACCCAGATGTGTATGCCGACACTGACGCTAAGTCGGGGTGCTGAACTGAGGAGTGGTCAATTAATAAGAACCAGATGTTAGTATTTAATTGAGAGCATACATATCTTATTATACAGGTCAGTGGAATAGACGGCGACGTTTAACCTCGGTTAAACACTTTCTTTGAAAAATATATGCCGACATCTCAAGCAAACAAACTTTATGACTCCTCTTGAATTACGCATTCATCATATGTCTTAACAATCACATGATCAGATGATACAAGCCAATCTCTGACAGCAAGCAAACAAAAACAAATACAAGAGGCAGTTGTCCTGCGTGTTCGACATTCTTTAAATCACTGTTGACCTTTTTAGAGTATCTAGCGATAAACAGACCCAGAATATAGAGACTGTCTGGAGCCGTGTATTAACTTGATATAAACAATATCGAACGTATTTGCAGACTGGTAAATTCCATTGCCAATGTTGTTTTATAGGGAAGATATTTTGAGAGGAAACTGTTTAAAATCACATTTTTTACTCATATTATAATTAAGAGATAAGAACATAAATTGTTTGTTTTCTTTAACAATTTCCCAGATATAGTGGAAAGTAATGACAGTTTGGAGTGTTCAATTGAACAATGTTTGCGGTGCCAAAAAAACTTTGGCTTTAAATTCGCTTGCGTACCATAGATATATATTATGAAATCCTATAACAGCTTCATTTGTTAATCGTAGTTGTAGTGTGGTTTTTCCCAGGCTATCGCAGATTCCATAGGACCATACCTTTTCGACCATTCAGTTAACTAAACTAGAGTGGTATAATTGGCTCCACTTCTCTTACTCTTTGTTTTTCTTCACATATACAGCTAGACGAAGACACGTTCCCCAGCCATCGGTGAAAATCCTGGAATTTGGAAAAAAAAATGACTAAAGTGTCGTAACTAGTGATAAGATTTTTCCCCATTCCAAAAAGTATGTGGTGTGCCAATTATGATATGAACTGAGGGGAATACTCCGTTGTATTTAAAGGAAACAAGTTGATCAGAATCATTGAATCGAGATCGTTATAAATAAGAATGTGAAAGATATGAAAGATATTCTCATTAAATTTAACGATGGTGCGACGTATGAAACAGGCCTAATCGTGACCAAGTCATCAGTCGACGAAGTGGAAGAGGTTATTTCGCTGGCCTCAGAGTGACAAAACGTAACAAAGCAACGGTTTTACTGGCACTAACCGTATTCCAAACACCAACTCTAACCTTAATCCTAACCGTAACCTAACCCTACTCGATAGATATAGTATGAATCCTAACAGCTTCATTTGTTAGTCAGTCAGCTCAAAGATAAATCATCCAGAAATGTAATCATATTCATATCTAGCATTGTAAACATGATATTGATAAAACGTAAAATTTTGCATTGTAATAGGAACACCTAATCCCACATAAAATTATCAAGGACATAACGTGGGATAATGGGATGGTGACGTGTGGTAGATTATGATTAGATTAATTATGGACCACAAAATCTCGCACAAAATAGGAACAACAATGCAACATATCAGTATACGTGAACCATTTACGCACGCAGGGGAAATTTGTGGTTGAGAAGATATGTGTTTTTGTTCTGTTAGTATAAATATAGGCTAAAAAGTGGTTATGGTAACATCGAGTTGTGTTGAATATAATTATGTTATGTGTGTGTTAGTTGTTGAATTGTGAATTGAGAGTTGTATACGCAGAGAGCGTGGATCGCATTATCGCAGAGTTTGTTAAAGTGAATTAATTGTTGATGGGCAATCGCGTTGGTTGATTTCTAAGTAACATCAGGCATTGTAAAACGACTTGCACGAAACAAGTGTAAATATTTGTACTCATAAATACTGATATTCAGAAAATACAGTATTTCAAGTCACACCTGCGCCAGAATTATGCTTAATTACTTGATGCTAAATCCACTTCAATCTTTCCCTACGCGCTTGATTAGTGTGACCGCAAAAAAAAAGTTCAATTAATTCATTTCAAGTGGTATTGTCGTGTTTAGTCAAATGAAGTTGCGTAATCGGCTTAGCTGCCTGTGTCTCTTGCACCCAACGCCTACTTGAAGTTTCCAGTTACCCAGGCCAACTTTTACCTGTGTGCACAATGTACCGAACTCCCATAATTAATGTCAACATTAACACCCTCCCCCCCTGATAATTGCTCATGTGGGCAATTTCAGGTAAATCCAGGTAGATTTGCAGAAGAAATTCAGGTAAATGAACACAAATTCAGGTAATTTCTCGGCTTAGAGAAAGTTAATTTACAAAAATAAGTGTGAATTTGGAAAAGAATGAGGTTAATTTACAAAAATTTTAGAAAATTATAGAAAATTTTTGGAATTTAGAAAAAAATTTTGATTAAATGGAGAAAATTGCTGATGTCCGGAAAAATTTTTTTAGGTCACGAAAAATTTTGATATGTCCGGAATTTTTTTGACCCCTAAATGGTACATTGACCGAAAATTTTTTGGCGACGGGGGGGGGGTCGCCCAAAAAAAATTTCAGGTAAAAAAATATTTTTCAGGTAAATTTCGAAATTTTGATTCTTTCAGGTAGATTTAACCAAACCCTGGAGCGAGCCCCTCGGGACGGCCCTGGTCAAGTACAACAGAATTTAGAGTATATTTAACAATTATTCGGCGAAGGCGAGGTGATTATCGGAATATTCGCCGAGACGAAGTCGTCAAATTTGACCAATCAACGCGTAGGATTTGTTATCACGGTTCACTCGTGCAAAAATACTAACGTATGTTTCACGCACGAATACGTATATGTACGTCGTTTGCAGCCCAGACCCAGTCAGCTCCATATATTTCTGGAGCAAGAACTTCAGTCATTCAGCCTGTGAGAAAAGTGAAGCCAAGATGGCGGCCAATGGCCTGGTTGACGTCCAATAGCTCTGAAAAGGTCGCAAACAGCTTTCATACCATTTTCCCTAGCTAAATCCAGTTTCTTCTAACGAACCGTATTGCTAACCAAATTATAAGTTCATAAAACCATAGTGTTATTCTTTAAATCGAAGTCAAAATACGAAATTTGCGGCACACTCAGCTTCTTGCCAAGATGGCGGAAATTGAAGGAGCTATTGGCTTCACTTTTTGGATCTAAGTTCCCGCTCCAGATATATGTGGAGCTCACTGCCTAGACTCAGGGCTTGGGCCTTGATTTGTGGATTAAGGTAATTCAGCAGTTTTGCATTTCGCACTTTTACTGCGCACATCTTATATCTTATAGTTTCATCCATTATACGTATACCGTTTAAAAAAAATCATTTATGACAATTTTATGTTACTTCAAAACATCTTTGGTTACATTCGTGCAAAGAATTACGTTAAAATCAATGTTCTCAAAAAAGCATACAAAAGTGTAGCTAGGGTTCCTGTGTCTGTAGTATATTTATTTACTTGTATTTCACGTTTCAATGCCACAATTCAGTTAAAAGATCGGTGACCCCTGTTTTTTAACTGATAATTTATTTCTTTAATGCATTTTACATTTCATATCCGAAATTAAAAGAAAAATCATTTCTGGATCTTGAAAAAAAAAATCCTTTATCAATGCATATATTTCTCCAAGAAAGCTATGCAAAGAAATGTTGTAAAGACATTTGTGGATCAGAATTGTAGACGCTAGTAGTTTTCAACACAATATTTTTTCAAAAATATTTACAAGATAGGCTTACAAAAGCAAAATCCGCGCTAAAAACGTCAATAAATATCGGGCTGTTGTGATTTTGCTGTTACTTGTAATGAGCGTCAAGATGGTGCCATATTGGGGTAAAGGTGGTATAGTTGTGATTGTCATATCTTCTTAACGAGTTCGGTGACCCCGACTTTTTGTGTGATTTCACTTTAGGTATATCATAAACTCCATGCCTGGGAAGTTTCAGCACATTTTCATTTCGGGAACAATTACTGCGGAATTACCTTAATCGACTTCAACGCTAGAGTCGATGACGTAGCCAGGGGCGAAACTAGCCCCTTTTAATTCGGGAGGTGTCTGCCAGAATTGCCCTGCCAAAACCGATGATGCCCTGCAGCAAATTTTTATTTCTGGCCACTATTTTTCCCCCAAACTTTTCCGGACATTAAAAAAAAGGGTCGAAAAATTTTTCCGGGCTTAAATCAGTTAACTGATTAATTAACGGTCAAAAACTTTTTTCCGTACAAATTCCTGTTAAAACGTGGGTGAAACCCTTATTTTTGGACCAATATCTGTAAAATTTATGTCTGTAAATTCTATTCCCTCTGAAAGCCCTGTAAGTCACTTAAAAACTCTACATTCTATTATTTAAAATCTTTGATCGCCCTGCCAATCCAGATGATTCGTATTTGGGGGGAGGGTGTCACACCCCTCCATACCCCCCCCTCAATTTTAGTCCCTGGACGTAGCCTAGCAATTCCTTCGCCTTGGCCTTGCCTCCCAATTTCCTAAGTTCCAGACAACCTGTAGCTTCGGGATGTACAATGCAGAAGAGGCAAATTTAAAGATGTTCCGCCCTGGTTATAGGTTAATGTCTCGCTGTTTATGAGTGCTAGTTATAACCCTTACTCGGTTGGTACCTCATCTTGCACGGATTGCATGGATATGCATGGATATTTTGGGTCTTTGACCCTCCACCACCAGCTCCCTAACCCGCCCAAATTCTGCGTCATTTACTAGTAACGTAAAACATTGTCTAAGGATAGTGGAGCAGGTATCCAAAATATCCGTGCAAGATGAAGTAGTTCCCCTTACTCTAATTCTAACCGCTGACCCTAACTCATGATGACAGCGAGACATGAATCTATCAACCGCCCTTAGCCCCTTAAGCCCTTTCTGGAAAGCAGCGCAATCACTGACTAGTCTTGCGTTGGGCTTTAGCTTTAACCCCGACCACATGTCACTCAGCCGTCCACCTAGAAAGGCCGTTGCATGCACCTGCAATCTCTAATGTTTATTAAATTCTGTTGTATTTCTCTTTTTGGTAAACCACTTTAAGATGTAGCAGCATTCTGCCTATATTGGTATCCTTGTGTATATTGGTATCCTTGTACGGCGGGCGAAGTAATTAAATTTTCACATGATAATCACGGGCGGTTGATCTGCTGGTTCAATTCAGTCTTGATAGTGTATGGCCTGCCAATCTATTTAATAATAAACTTTTATTACATAAATTAGTATGCTACTACAATCACTAATAAAAATACTTTATACACTTAATACACATCAAATTTATGAAACATAAAGTCATAACAGCTTCATTCGTCTCCAGTCCCCCATCGCATAATTTAAAAACACTGACGATGCATTTGACGAAGAAAATTGACGAAAAAGATTGTCGTGATGAATGATGAATTGATGACGAGAAATAGCGACGAATTTGCTGATTTTCTTGCAGATTTGTTACTTATTATGCATTACTCTCACAAAGTGGGCATAGATTTTTGATAAAAAGACTTCCACTGGTATGGAAACTAGACGAAACGCTGCTGCAAACAATCTTCGCCAGACGAAAAATGAAAACAACGAAAATTTACAAGAAGCAAAACAAAGAAGCCATGTTGGAAAACCAAAGGCAAAAAGCCTTCAACGAAACAAGCGTGTGCCATTGGGAACCTTGTCTAATTCTTTTCATCCTTTTCAAACTCGAAGCAAGGTTTGAGTCCATATTTTTTACAAATTGGAAAACCTCTAACTGTATTTTAATGAAACCTTTTTTGTCGTTTATATACTTTTAACTGCATCAGCGTCAGTAAAAACTGACAGCTTTTCTGTATGTTTTTTTATGTAGTTGGCAAGTTCACACGAGAGATGTCAAAAGAATGACATTTCTGCATTGGACAAGCATTCACACACAAAAATGTGTGGTGGCACATCACAACAAACGTTTGCTGTGTATATCGATCAAGAAAATATACCGTGGCCTTCAGTTGATATGATTGTTCACACAACGAACACTGATATAAATGGTAAGCTCTTGGCTCACAATGATGTGTAATTTTAACAATCTCTTTTCGTCAATTCTCTTCAAACGATATCGCACGAAAAAAATCACAAATAGCTGACTGATGCCTTACTCCTGGCTTAAAAATTACATGCAAAATGTACGTTTCACACTTTCACAATAGTTTCAGACTCACGTATATTTTGTACATTTATTTTATCGATAAGTGAAATAGATTTCAGTCAAGTTTTTAAAACTTTCCTTCTTGACGTTTTGTGTCATTCGTTGTTTTGAAGACTGAAATTCATTTTTTCAACAAATGCCTGAATACAATTGTCAACACTGATCTCTCTATATATAAATCACAACTGGGCTATTTTCAGGCCTGGTTATTTTTCAGTAAAGTTGTTTTAGTGGGAAGTTAACTTTTTTCTAGCCAAAAAATTATGTTTTTACCACATCACAGTTTTGGCAATATTTATAGACTGTTTATGCGATAAAGTCTTGCGTTATTGTGACCGGAACTGGAAGTCATCATTCCAGGATTATACCGATTCAATTCAGCGATCAATTCACACCAGCATTACCACGTCTAGGCTACCTGTTGCAATTGGAGAGTACGAGCAGACCAGGATCTAATTCGCTCAGTGTGGCAAACCGGTTTTACACGAGCTCGAGGCAACGTTTGCTGCAACTTGCTTGCGATGCAGTTTCGGATGCAGAGTATGCATGAGTAGCTGAGTAACTCCAAGATATGTGGCGGGAAATTTCTCCACAATTTACTGATATATCTTTAATGGTGCTCGGGGGAGGGGGGAGAGGATGTTTTGGTGGATACGAATTTAACCTACCACAATCGGCAGATTTGAGCTCCCATCCCAGCTCTAAAATTTGACGACAGCGCTGAATACATCTACTGTAGACCAATTATTATACAGGCTTAATTCCCACCGTCATATTGACTACGGTAATTTCCAATCCCAACTTGTAAAGGCGAGTGGAATGGATCGAGTGGTTGAATAATACTGAACTGGGACACTAGTTGACAGATATATCTATGCATATTTCACTTTGTCTTTATTTGAGGACCCTCTTTAGCTAAAAGGAGGGGGGGGGGGGACTAGTCTGGTACGAATTGTTCTTTTTACCTCCTTGTTGACATTATTCCTAGATGTTTATATACAACTTTGAAAAAGGAGTTCTGCCATTTGAAAAGGGAGTTCTGCCATTTGAAAAGGAAGTTTTGCCATTTGAAAAGGGAGTTTTGCCATTTGAAAAGGGAGTTCTGCTATTTGAAAAGGGAGTTCTGCCATTTAAAAGGGGAGTTCTGCCATTTGAAAAGGGAGTTTTGTCATTTGAAAAGGGAGTTCTACCATTTGTAAAGGGATTTCTGCCATTTGAAAAGGCAGTTCTTGCGTTTTACTGGAACATTCCATTATAATACACAATTCCCACCGTAGCCAGGCATATTTTTCAAGCCTTCCCGGTGTGGATACACATTATACACTCAGAGTAACATTACAAGCATCTTATTCACTAGAGTACATTACACCAACACAGAAAAAATCCTATATGTTTATGCATTGGGCATATAAAATTTCGTCGGAATACATAATATTGCCATTCCTGAGACCGTATAGATTTCAAAGGAGGAAAGTGCCCTCGGATCCCCAACGTACTTCAGTACAATACGATGAAAATCACAACGGATCCAAAATTATATTTTGCCCTGGGCCCACATATGGGCGGCCCTGAAGATCGGGGTTGAGACGAGGTTATAACGATTGTCATTCATTATTAGGATTAGTAAGCTGATCCTCTAAGTCAGGTGAGAGGAAGCTAACCATTTTATACAAGCTTTCGTTGGTAGAGATGCAACTACGGTATCCGAAAAATACAAAGCAAAATTTTCGACCTGGAATTTTAAAATTATAAAATTAACATTTTTTAGCCATGTTATAATTTATGGAAACTTGACTAGCTAGAACATTATTTTTTGCATTTGCTTCATTACCGTACACATAGAAGAAGAGATTGATGGAAATAATGAATGCATCGAAGAAGAAAGTATTTCTGATATGACCTGCAACAGCTGTTCTGATGATGACACCTTTAACGATTCTAGCTTGCTTGAATATGTGTCAGAAATATATGAGTATCTTAAAGAGGCTGAGGTACGTTTGGGACATTATGTTTTTACCAATAGTGGTGATAATAATGCATAAGAGTAAATCCATTTACCAAGTCAAATCCAAGTCCGAGTCAGTTCTGAGCCCGAGTCAAACGTCCGAGTCACGTAAAGGAAGACGAAATTGAATAAAATTCACAATCAAATAGGGTTAGGGTTAGGGTTAGGATTAGAGTACTAAGTCATTGAACTACAAAGACCGCGCTAAAATAACAGTGACTCGGACAGATTTGTCTTGGGCTCGGATTTGAATCAGACTTGGATTTGACTCGGTTAACCGAAAACTCTAATCCATAATCCTGGTAAATAATTAGCTGTTGCATTCCGTCATCAATGCAAATATATTTTGTCTTGTAAAAGAACTTCGTGGAGTTCTTCCAATTCATTAAATAAACTTAATCCACGTAAAATATTATATTCCTTAACAAAGCCCGGTTGTACGAAGTCGAAGGCAGAACAGCGCCACAGAAAACGAACCTTACAGAAGGCCGACGACTTCTTGGTTTTGCCAATGATTTTGGCATAATCGTTGCTATGATATGATCCTAACCAGTGCGCTTATGAGAGGCATTCACCCAAATGGTGGACGATCAGGGGGGTGTATGCCTCTCATAATCTTACTGGTTAGGAATGTGGCGACAGCATTTTGATGACGAATCATTGCGGAAACATGGCGTGGCAGCGGTTACGCTTTTGGCTGAGTCGACCTTCTGTTTAGCTTTAATCTGTGATAGCGCTTATCCAACCAATAATGATATTTTTTCAACCATTTTAAAAATATCTGAAAAGCGGCGAAACCACGGTTGTGGACCTCGCAATGGACCATTTGCATTATAGACTAAATTTTGATCTTGACAAAAATTTCATCACAGCTTGGAAGAGCATCACAAAACTAGTAATATTCCAAAGTTTCGTTGCGAAATGTTATAAAATGCGGATAATATAGCCTTGCGAAATTTGTAATTTTCAGTCATTTTGTATTACGCACGGGAAATTGATGCCCCAACACCCAATTGGGCTGTCAATTTCCCGTGCGTAATACAAAATGACTGAAAAACGGCAAACTTCGCAAGGCTATATTATCCGCATTTTACAACATTTCGCAACGAAACTTTGGAATATTACTAATTTTGTGATGCTCTTTCAAGCTGTAGTGTGATGAAATTTTTATCTAGATCAAAATTTAGCTAGTCTATAATGCAAATGGTCCATTGAAAAAAGGAAGTACTTCTAATGTGAGTTACACAGGGTTCGTGCAATCGTGTTACTCCTTAAAGTCCTTGAATACGTTTTGACTTTTCAAGGGCGCTTGAAAAGCTCTTGAAATTTACCATTTTAAAAAAAATCTTTAAATACGCCTTAAATTTGCTAAATAGTAAGTGAGACCATAGTATTAACTTTTGTTAGTTGCCATAAGCATTTCGTGTTGCATAAACCGGCGTTAGAAATAAATCGTTGATACAAATTCGTCAATATTGCACCATATATTTCTTTGGAAGCTACACTGGTCAATAAACCACGGGCTCGATCTGGGTTCGATTTTCCCGCCATTTGCTATGTTTTCAATTTTTTTTCCTTGAAGGAAAACATCTCAAGCACTCCTTGAAAAGCGCTATTTTACTATTTAAAAACTCCTTAATTACTCCTTGAATTTAACTTTTCAAGACCAGCGCGAACCCTGGTTACACCAATCAACGACCAATTTTAGAAAACTTGACAAAATCATTATGGCCAGAATACGTAATAACGTGATCAGCGCGTCCGAATTCCGTATTTACCTTCGTGACCAACCCTTTTCACTATGTCACATGTACAATCTTTTCAGAAAAGGCACCGTCCAAAGCGCAACTTTATGAATGGACAACCGCTAATTAACAAGAGCATGAGGGCAATCTTGGTAGACTGGCTGGTCGAGGTGTCCGAAGAATACAGCTTAGTTCCAGAAACATTGTTCCTGACTGTAAACTATATTGATCGTTTCCTGTCATCGAACGCGATCATAGATCCAAGTAAATTACAGCTCGTTGGTGTCTCATGTATGCTCATTGCTTCGAAGCTTGAAGAAATTTATCCTCCTGAGATATCCGAGTTTGTGTTCATCACCAACTCCACTTACACCGGTGATGAGGTATATCACAGTCAAGTCAATTTTGAATAAAGTAAAGTAGTGAAAAAAGTGAGATCAAACGAACGAAAAGAAGGTGAAGAATGATAGGAATTGAGAATGATAGGAATTGGAACGAGGTGCGAAGTAAAATATGCTACATGCATGCAGGATTATTTTAAAGTTTTGTTTCAGTATTACTGGGAAGCATATATTTTTAGATGTCGTAAAATTGATACGATATTGGGCAGGCAAATTAAATATCGGTCAAAATGTAAATTTAATTTAAATATCGCTCCATATATACGTATAGAATTCACTGATTCCACCAAAACTAGTGACAATATCGGAGGTTGCTACAGGCTACAATTTTGTGCTCGAGAAGAAATAGGACCAAATAAGTTATCACAGGATAGCTGATGTGAACAATTTAGAAGATTTTTTACGCTAGTCAAATCAGACCGAAACGAGCACGGAGATATAACACGAAGATATTTTGACGAATCTGCATGGTCATTTCTTTATCGGATTGAAATCATTAGTATTCTTCAAAAATGAAGGTGCTGTGTTGGTGGAGGATAATATCGTTTACAATATTCTTTGCAAACGTTTGGAAATTTAGTTAAATTAATTTAAGGCAATAGTACAGAGGGCATTTGTGTTCACTATTTCTCGCCAAGTAATGAGAAACAGACACCTTCTTGGCTTTTGTAAAAACAAATCTGGTAACTATTACATTATATCTTATTCTCATTAGGTGAGACAAATGGAAAATGTGATATTAAAATCACTTGCCTTTGACTTAGCTGTTCCTACAGTGCTATCGTTCTTGGAAAGATATGGAAAGAGTGTGGACCTCCCACATAGATTAATGGAGAAATTCTCTCACCTGACAAAAGTGAGTTGGTGTATAAATCTGTTTGAAATTTATTACGAACCTTCATACAAAGCAAGCAACTACACTAGGTAAATTTGTGAAATTGTGCAGTAGACGATGAAATTTTTGACATGAATTTCTGAAATGACCCCGAAATGCCATTTTCCAATTAGAATATCATGCATCTTCCAATACCATTTGATTACTTGAAAACACCTTCTCAAACTGTACAAGAATATCAACATCCACAGAAAGTATAGTTTTATTCAATGTTTACAGTTAGGTGAAGAATATTCACCAGCAGTGATGTATTTCATACATACTACTGCTTGGTTTACTTGTGAGTTTATTTATTTAAGCATGTTAAACTGGCACATTGTGCAGTATAAAGTTTATCAATTTACTATGCATGTGTTCTGCATGCACATCATTAATGACACTATCGCCTGTATTCTAAAAGCTCACTCACACTTATACTCAAAGAGTGGAGGTTCAATCTGAGCTTACCTTGAGTGTCAGTGCTGTTTTTTAATTGCTGGGGGGTTAGTGTCATACCCTACTATGTGACTACTCACCCTCCAGCTATTCAAAAACAGCACTGACACGCAAGGGGCGCTCAGATTAAACCTCCTCTTTGAGTGTGACTGAGCTTTTTGAATACAGGCGTATTACTCTGTATTTCTGTACTTTAAGCCGGTCAAACGTGCATAAGAGTTGATGAGAGTTGGTTCTAGACTGACAAAATAAAGATGATGAGTGTTCCAACTATATTTTTAACTTAAATAGAATACTTGATAGTTGAAGGTAGCCTCGCAGTAGCTCGGAAGAGTGATTTTCATTGGCTCGACTTGACAATTGCTTTTGTGTGCAGAACAATGACATTGCTTCGTTCTTTAGAAACCCCCATCCAATTGGAGACGACCTTTCGAGGCACTGCGAGGCTTCCCATAGTTGATAGTGTTGGGAAAGCATTAATTAAGAACAAAGGTCACGTGGCTGCCAACTCTCAAGCACTCTCATTATCGTTTGATCCGGGCTTTAGTTTATTATTCTTACCTTTCGCTAAACTCGACTATTTTTTCTTGCTGTTTCAGTATTACTGCGAAGTTGTCTTGCAAGATGCAGATCTGCAATGGACGCACCTGCCATCTCTCATAGCTGCATCCTGTGTTGCTCTTGCTCTAAATACCTTAGAGTGCACTTCATGGGTAAGAAGATCGAACTTCATGCATATAATAAGGAGTTCATGTTAAGTAGAGGATATATTTACGAACAGAAGTCAGTACTTCTTGTACACTTGTCAAGTTTTCCTTCGGGTTCCCGAACCCACGAACATATTTTCCTTGTCCGAAAGCTGGCATGACCACCTTTGGAACAAGACTCGTTGGCAAGGAAGTAAAACGTGCATGCACACGAGCAAATAAAACTGTCAAGGAAAACTTATCAGTCAAGGAAAAATTGCCCGTCTGTAAGGGGCTTTATTCTGGCATACATGTGATTGAGTGAACTGTGATAGAAATTAAATAACGCAATTCATTGTTCGGTATCAACTGGTGAGATAAGAAGTGCATGCATATTCAATAAATGCCTATAGAATGTTCAAGTACTTATTTTCTAAAGAGAAGAATCGTTGCTTCAGGGGCCAGTGTAAGAAACATTACCTCCATTTCAACAAGGAGGTATAAGATTCTGTTTGGGAATCGAGAGAGCCACTAATTTCGAAGAATGGAGCACTTTAGGATCATACTTGCACTGCCGTTTGTGACTCTTTTTAAATGGTCAATTTCAATCTAAACTTTCATTTTATTGTTAAAATCCCCTAGCTCCTAGTCAGTTAGAATTATTTTCATAATACAGATCGATTTGCTTCTTTCCATTACAAAATGAATGGACTGAAAAAGATCACTAATTTACCCGGCTATTCAGACATATTTTAAATCAGAACCTTTGCTCACGTTGGGCATTCGACATAGCCATTCCTCGATTTTTAATTCTTTTAGTTAATATGCATCATACTTGTAGTCTTGTCATTTCTAGTTCCCATTGTTGGCAACAAATACAGGATATCAACTTGGAGATATGAAACTATGTATTAAGGATATACATGAGATCTTAACACAAGTAGAAGACACAAATCTACAAGCAATTAAAGATAAATACAGTGAATTTAGGTAAGTATATAATATATTTTAAACTAGCAAGACATAACTTATATGCAGCAATCCTGTAGGCTCAAACATTGTTTATTGTCACAACATCAAGTATTTGCAATTAAAAAACCGCAGGACGTCATGAAAAGTCATGAGATGAACAAAATTTTTACTTATTTGCCATTTATCAGCCGAGTTGTAACCGAAATAAGCGGAGTTCTTGCGAGCAAATTGTGAATTGTAGTTTCTGTAACCGCATGTAAAGATTTGACCGTTTCCATTGGCTATTTGCATGGCCTTTATTTCAGAATTCCGACCCATAAAATTTTGAAAAAATGATCAGGGAACGTCATGGGAAAAGTCATAGATTTTTAAATAGACGGTTTTAGATAACAAGACGAGGACGTCAAGAGGTCGTGGATGTCGTCATTTGGCGCCAACTATCGTCAGCTTCTTGCAACGTCGTCTTGGACGATTTCACGACGCGAAAATACAATTTTCACGTCCTCTCTAGAACGTCACAGATTTTTGCTTCTTTTGAAAAAAATATGAGACTGTGCATAATAAAAATCATCCTATTTTGTTCCCCGTGTATTGTTTAATGATACTAACTAAAGTGTTTCCATTGACAAGGTTGTTTTTCTTGTATTTCGCTAAATTTTGGACGAGTTGATTCTCGACAAATACTTTCGGTCGCCATAAACAAATCAACCAAACTGCAAGCATTGTTAATAACCACTTAATTAAAACAAGAATTTATATTAACAACTGTTTAAAATCAGGAAAACGTGGGAAAATAGAAAAATAAAAGCACTGAAAAGCAGTAAAAACTCAATCAATCTTAGTTGCTCTGTCACAACAGAAAACTTTCCAGCATGAAAAACTATCGTAAACAGTATTAAATTTTACCAATATAAACACTGATGCAATATTTATACTGAACAGGTGACAAACTTGATTGAATAAGCTACAAACTGAAGCATTTAGCTCGTAACAATACCTGCAGCTATTGTATTTATTCCAAATGATGCAACAAAGTTCACTTTTCAAAATACCGAAATATACGTTTTTTTCCAAAAAAAACGTATTGAATGTTCATACTAATTCATCAGGAAACACTTGGCCAGTATTATATAGCTTTTTTTTGCACATATCTTGACAACTGATTGAAAACAATACAGGAATAAACAGGTAACAAGAAAACAAAAATTTGCTTCGAAATTAAAAAGACAAACAAGCCGTCCCAGATTAAAACCTTGAAGTGAACGCGAGGTGCATACGTCATTTTCACCTTCTCTTGACGTCCGCGTCTTGTTATCTAAAACCGTCTAATAGGAGAAGGTGTACGTTATTTTGCATTTCTCCCCAATAATCCTGTTTTATTCATATTTGAAAGAATATGCATATATAGTTGTCAAATGAAAGGCTATGTTGCAATTCAGGACCTGGTGCATTTAACCATTACTTTTTACCCTTCCTTCCTTGCAAGACAACACCATTCTCGTGATTGCAATGGTATAACCTTTGTACAATGCATTGTACATGCAAAGGTTTTCACTGGAAAAAATTCTGAAAATCCATAAAAGTTCATAGAATGGAAATTGTATGGACCTTTATTGGAAATAGAATGGATTTTGGTTATCCATAATAATTGTATATTTCCATAGAATGAATATAGTATGGAAATAATATGGATATACTATGGATTTAGTGGTGCAATTGCAAATTTGTAGTATGGATTTCACTTCCCCCCCCCCCCCAGTGTTTACCACTGGAATCGCGAGAATGGCGCTGTTTTGCAATGTGTGTCCTGCCTGTGCCCCTATAACTATAATGTGCAACTTTATATCATTATGTAGGTTTGGCTGTGTAGCTACCATCGCTACACGAAGACCTCTTTTTGCGTATTGATTACTGTAATAGTGTACGCTACGAAAGCACAGGTATCTGTGACCACATGCTCCCCAAGCTTACGTTGCGGCTATTTATATGCTTAATATAGAAAACATATGAATTTAGCTATGTTCATTTGATTCGTCAAATAGGTGCTAGAATATATTATCTCAATTTTTATACTATACGAGGTGTGTTGGTTTGGATGAACCGGGTCGTTTCGGTTCAATTAAGTGCTTGAACCTGTGGTTAAGAGCTCGACAACTGGACTCTGTACAGAATAGTAGATCAGTTGGTTAGAGCGCTGCACCGGAATCGCAGGGTCCAGGTTCGATTCCTGCCAGAGACCATAAAGTTGTATTTTTCGCCACTGCTCCTGCATGGTTAGGTCTTAATAAATGTATAGAATTTAGACTCGAAATTTCCATCTTGTAAATCCTTCCACCATTGGTCCACCAATGGTGGACAATGCTGCATGATATTGGACGAAAATTTTAAACATAGTCAAACATGATCCAATATCTTCGATCATGATCCAATACCTCAACCATCATTAACCCAACTGGCGTTCAAACGAGAGCAAAAATGTTGCATCCAACAGTGTTGTCTGCTGTTGGACCAACATATTGGCCTTGTTTGAACGTCAACAGTTCCTTAGATCGGAAGATATTCAAACCAATCAAACCGAAACGGGCCCAACGGGCTCAAATAAGTATTAAAACAATATGCTACAGCAATCACTTGACGAATCGAATGGATATCTATTCAAAGACTGAAGTCTTGTATAAAGAGTTTACAGCTAATTCAATTAAGGTTGTCCTAGGCCTTCCGAAAACGTAAACCTTAAACTCTGAGCGCGCAAGAAATGATGAGTTATTGCTTATTTACACTCATAACCTTTGAAATTTGAATTGGCTTTGCGAGAATACCTAAGACATATAGAAGACTCAAGACAGAAAACATACTTGCTGCAAAGGCAACTATATGAGTTTAAGGGCCTACTAGGTGAAAACCCATCATCCCTTGCGCGCTCAGATTTTAGGGTTCAAGGTTTTGGAAGGACAACCTTAATTGAGTCAGCTGTATATAAATAGCCGCAACTAAAGCTTGGGAAGCTAGCTGTGACCACGTAAATGCACTAGACTTGACAGATATTAAGTTATACTTACCTTTCATTGATAAAGAAAGAATTACCGTTCATTGGTTGGTATAAACAAGCATGCGTTATACGCGGTTACTGATGCATGCTTGTGCTTTCGTGGCGTGCACAAAAGAATCAGGGCTTTAGATTTTCAGTATTACAAGTACCAATACGATATCTGCAGACAAGAACAAAGAAAAATATACTCGTGTCTAAAATTGTCTGTTAATATCGTTATATTACTCGCACGATATATTTTTCTTTGTTCTTGACCAAAATCACAACTATACCATATATACGTATGATGAATCTCAGATACTCAGTGGTACTTGTTATCAAATCTAAAGCTCTTTTGTTATAAGGAATGATGGCCATGACGTTTAACTCAAACACGATCGAAACTTCATATACAATTCATCCTTACCGAAAGTACGACACGCTGGGTATAATAGAACCTCGTTTTCATTGTTGAGACTTTAACTTTTGATTTTTCCCCGCTACTGGTGAGGTAATTATTATAAGCAAGAGTTTTTAGTGTCAGTACATTGACATTCACGAAAACGATACTCGATACCGATCGAGTCAATGTCCAATTGAATCACGAAATCAAGGTTCTATAATCAATGCGATCGGTACATATCGTAAGTGTGTGTATAAATATTCATAAAACCTTGTTAGCAAAATGTCAACCCAAATTTTCAGATTGCGTTTCTTTAGTTCATTCTGTCACAATGGGATAAAAATCAACAAAGTAGTCTAGTTTCGTGACATGAAATTCAGTACTTTAATAGCCAGCGCCTATATAAATGAAAAATATTATAAAGTCATTCCTTATAACATTTTAAAATCATGCTGGTCATGAGGAAATTCATGAGATAATGTTAAATATTATAATTCATATCGAATTAATTTTATCTACTAAAATGTATAAGTTTTGTATAATTCAACCTGTAATTTATTGTACAGTATAAAATAATTTTAATCAATTTCATTGAATTGCTGGTACATTTCTAAATATATTTGTATATTATTATATATAATTTGAAAACAGTATATAGCTGCCGTTATTGGCCAAAAATTATAAACAATTATGCATGGTGTAAATTATAAATAATCAAAATTGTATATTATCATACCTCATAATATTAATAATTTGTAGTGACTTTATGTATCCTTGGGAATATATCAATAAATACGCCTTAATTAAAGATTCAGTATATGTTCATTCCATAGATATCTTATATAGACTAGATAGCGCATCTCTTTTAGTAAAATTGAAGCCAAGAATATTCCAGCGGTTACCCCCATTTGAATAGATGGCGGTCATGTTGGAGTTTCCCACTCGCTAATAAACGCTTAAAAAACAACAATAACTTTCATCATTTGAATAGTTTGAAAATGTATTTGGAATAGGTTTACCTTAATGTTTAAGTTCCGTGTTTAAGAAATAGAAAATATACGAGTCTTCTCATTTCATTGGAATATCCTGAGTCTGCAATCACGGCTTCAATTTTTTAATTGTAGAATAATTAGATGCACTATCTAGTGTATACAATATATCTAT